GGAAGGAGAAATCATACATGTTTTAATACATTGCTGCTTGCAGGAAAATAAGTTTAATCCTTATTATGCAGTATTAGCACAAAAACTGTGCGAATATAATAGAAAATATCAGGTACTTAGTAATTTTATATTTTGTACTTAGCTACTCAAGATGTGTGAAAAAGAACAGTCACAATCACATTTTAATATTGATCAAGGTTTTGTTACTGAAGTACAATAGTAAATACAATAATGCAACCATCACTCATTGTCTTAAGCTCACTGAAACTTTATGCAGTTGACAAGAAGAAAAAGAAATTGTCAGAACGAAAAGAGGTAAATAGATGCAGTACGAAGAGATGCTGCTATTGAAAAAAGTAATCATGCAGTAAAGAAAATTTTTACATTCCATAATTTTCATCCTAACGTTTTAAAAATAGTACAAATGCGTTATTGGAATTCTTCCAATTAAAACGAGTCTAAACATCAGATAAGTCAAGCTATTTTATTATGTTATTATGTTATTATGTTATTATGTATCATTTTGCAGTCTACATCAAGTTAATTATTGTAATTACAGTTAGTTTGATTTATATTGCATTTAGGCATATTTTAATTGGAAGAATTTCGAGAATGCATTACTTCCACTATTAGAAAAATAACATAAATATTAGAAAAGACAAAATTTGTAGTATTGCATGATCATTTTTTCCTTTGAAATATTGGATCTCTACCATTGCTGCTCAACATGAATCTATTTCGTTATATCTCTCCTCTATTTCTTTCTGATAATGCTCAAGTCCATTCTTAGAAAAAGAAAGTTACCCTGCACGTGAGAATTTAACTCAATGCTGACTCTCAAATTTGTTTAAATTTAACTGAGCATTATTGTACATTTTGATATATTAAACAATTCTTTATCAAGTTGCAGGAAAAAAATACGATTATAATAAATATTCAAATTTTATGAAACCATGTACATTTGTTATATGATTGTAATATAATGACTATGATTAGTGATATCAATGATAATAGTTTATTAAATAAATAAATATATGTTTGAAACCTATAAACGAAACTTAGTCATTTGCTATTGCCATTACTACAAGATGTATTCATATTTTTATATTCAATAATAATTAATATACAATTATTTTCATTATTTTTTAAATATATTGACCCATCTTTTTCTACATCTTGTATATGCATATATGCGAATGTAAATGACTAATAATATATTAACGTAAATCTTGACTTAGTTAACAATACAGTATAACTTTTGGGACAAATTGAAGACACTGGATATATATGACAACAAACAATTAATTAATTTAGCCCAACTTTTAAGTCATTTATTTATTGAAAAGTGCCTTTCCTTGTCAATACTTAAAGTAAGTACTATGGTTATTACTAACTTATAAATGTTTATATTAAATCTTCTACCATGTATTGTTATTTTATTACAGATCATTCAGTTTACTGAACTAGACAGGCAAACCATGAAATTTCTTAGACAAATAATATTGGGAATTCTTTTACATGAAAACGAACGATCTTGTATGCAAGTATTTGAAAGATTCTGTATTTCTTCACAATTACAAAGTTTTAGGGAAAGCCTTCGTTTATTCATAAATTGTTTTATAATGAAAAATATATATTCATATTATATCTTGGATGAACAAAAGATAATGCTGAAAGAAAGAATTGAATTGGTTAATAAAATATTAATTTTAAATGAATTTAAAATTAAATTTTAAAAAACAGTAGAATAAAATATAATGATTTTAAACACAAAATCGAAGTTAATATTAAAATAATAATTGCATTTTGTAATGAAACAATATGTACTTAACTAATTTTATACCTAAGTCGTAATATAGTAAATATTTAAGGGAGAACCATGTAACATTCATTTTAAAACAAATTCAATTGCAAATGTTTCAAATAAAATTATATTTTAAGTAACATTGTAACTACATATTTGTATTCGTAATTTATTAAGCATACATACATATACATGTATAGTGTAACTTCAGAGTTAAATGTTTCCACATAATCGTTTATTAGTTATTGTTGTTGAAAAGTCTGCATACAAAGATTGTAAGTATTTTCATATTTTGAGTTCAGTGGCCCACTACATCCGTATCCCCCTAATCGATGAATACGGAGAAAATCGTCGCAGTTGATATTACCATCACCATTACAATCCTATAAATAAATATAGAGAAGAAAATAATAAATAAATATACCCAAAATATATACATTTATGTACATATGTTTACCTGTGCAAATTTCTTCATATAACCCTGTACTGTACGAGCTGCGCAATATGGATCGGTTACACATCTTATGTACTCTAAAAGAAGAACGAATATTTTTATTATTACAGTCAATTCTACTATTTTTCAATTATAAATTAAATCATATATAAGTACTGACCGTCTTTAGTTGTATTGTTGTCAAGGGTTGGTTTACCAGCATCAGCCCAATAATTCCACGTTATACGAAATGGTCCACAAACAGACTCATCGCAATTAAGTGTAACATTACATCCAGAAGCAGCTTCGCATATACATCCTAGGCATATTCTTGATACCATTTCTGTTCCCAACACTGATGTTACTTGCACTATTATATTTATTAAAAAAGAAATCATTTATTTAAAATATTTAGTTATAACTGTTAAGAATTGGTGCACACAAATATAATGGACAAATTAAAGACTTAATAAAACATTCAAAGAATATAATAATATATCAATAAATAATTACAATAATTATTAAGATATATTAAATCATAAGGACTTTTTAATCATCTTAAGAGGATTTCCTTGACTTTGTCAAGAAGAATTCACGTAGTCTGCAAGAATCGTTCGTAACTAGCTACAGTTGCATGAAACCGAATTCGCAGGTAATAATTATACGTATATTTTTTTTTTTTATTTTAAAGAATAAATATTCTAAAATATAAATATTTCTTTTTCTATGATAATTTCTTGTAAATATTTAATTATAAATCTGTTTATAGATGGTTTTGATAAAACTATAGTTTCGATATAGGTATATGTTAATTTTTAAAATATTTTATGTATATTGTAATAGCATACTACTGACTGAAAGTTAATTATTGATTATTCATCAATTTAAATTGAAGAAAATTATAAATAATTTCGTATGATTTGATATCTTTAATTGCATTTTTATTCAAACTGTTATTCAACAAAAAGAACAATAACTACTTATAGAAATTAATATCCAAAATTACTATGAATCACGTGTAAAGTAATTATAAATGTAAATTTTTTCAATTGACTTGCTTCAGAAAACAATGATCTGCAAGATTTTGACGAAACACGAATAAAATTCATTTTCTACTTAATATTAAAAATAAATAAATGCTTACCATAAATCAAAGGTAGTAATAATAAACACACAATAGTTGAAGTATTTAATAAAGAGGACATTTTCGTTAATTGATCTTTCATGAGGGACAAATAATTTCTTTTCGAATTTCCAATTTTGTTAATGTATGAAAATACCGTCACGATGCGCAGAAGAATATTCACGCGAATTCCTCAACGTTCTCTTTTATATACAAGAGAGTTGTCGCGCGTGTGCTTGCGGAGGTGGGGACCAGAAACAGAGGTCAGTGGCAAGGACTATCTCTTAAAAAAATCGTGATCGTAAAAAGGAGATTTAGAATTCGACTTGTCGCGACACTGGGCATGTAAAAAAGTAAAAAGTCTAAGTCAAGATAGGAATAATTACATATTTGAATGCGTATTATAGTTTTTAGAGTTATGTGTTATAAATTTTGTATGTGCGCGTACGCACGCGTTGCGTGGGTGTGCATGCAAATATGTGTATATATTATTTCAACTTTATTTACAATTATTTAAATTATTGAAAAAATGCTGTATTTAAAATTAGTATAAGTATACTAATAAAACTACTAATGTTAGATAATTATGGAATACAACTCAGTTAGCTTTATTCTGTTGTGTATTTTGAGTAAACGTATACTTTTGATGTTCTACTGTTGTAATGAATATAGTATTATATGTAGATAAAGTGAATTCAAAGATTAAGCAAACTTTGGTCTGCCACAATCAAGGATTGCTTACTTCAATAATATATTAAAATCATCTTTAACATTTCGTTCGATTTCTTTGTTCGCTATTTATATTTCTTTAACAACTGAAATAATTTACATATATACGCCATTTATTCATGAGACAGAAACTATACTAAAACCGGATTTCAAACTGAAGATTATATACCTGATACAGCATATTAAAATACGTTGTGAAAGCTTTTACGGTTTATCTTCTTCCTTTTCTTTTAAGTTTTTTAATTGATATTAATTACAATAATAACGTCAATATATAACAGCTTTGCTCATACAATTTATATAAAAGATTAAAAAATTGTTGTTACAAAATATTAGGAAAATATTTTAAATTGGTATTGTAAAGGACCGAATATATTTTAATACAATTCGATGCACGAAATATTTCTATAGTGTCATTTGTAAGAAATAAAACTAATAACTGACATTATATGTAATAAACAAAGCTATTAAATGTATTTAAAATGCTTCTACGTTTAAATACGTATAGATACGTACATGGTATAATATTTCGGAGAAACAGTAATATGAGGATAAATTGAAATATTAAATACGAAAAAAAAAAAAAATTTTAAAATTGATTACACGTTTTATTGCAATAACCGAGTATCTTGAAAATGTAATATAATATTAAGATTTTCATAAAAATACAACTATTAGGAAAGTAATCAGATAATAGATTTCTCATATTAATTTTCGAAGTTTTCATATTAAGACTGCATATTGCAGGAGAATATAGCATAAATCACAGATAGATAAACTAAACTAACATATTCTCTAGAATAATACTAATCAAGAATCACGCACTAATACATGCGCTTGTGTTGTAATTATCATAAAGCAAAAGAGAAGTTATATTAGATTTGTTGGAACTATTTCCGAACTCCCCATTTCTTGTATTAACAATTAAAAGTTACAGTTATGTACGAAAACAAAACTGTATTACCTATGAATAGCACTATCCTAGACTCTTCTCTACCAATAGAAATTAAAAAACATACTAATATTACTACTAATTAAATCAATACTAACCGAAATACATTGTACACAATTTTTTAACTGTTCAGATGATTAATTAAATAATCTTTAATTTACAGTTACTGATCTATTACTGTTGATTTATATACAAAATATTTCTCACTATCTTGTTGTCATCAAATCTTATGATTTCTAATGGAGTTAAAGAGATGCAACACCGAAACATTTATGTAATACGATAGAACTTTAACCTACAAATTTTAGATTATAATTTAGATATTCCCTTTAGTTTCTTCTTTTTGTTTAGTTTTCTTTTCCTATTAAGGATATAAATATAAATTTTTAAATAGGTAAAATATATATAAAAGATATTAATTTTTTAAATAATCTATTACAAATATTGAGATAATACCATTAATATAAATATTTTAAAGCTTTGTTAACATATTGCCACTGAAACTTTGTATTAATAATTATTCTTATGCAATAACAGATTATGTATACAAACAATGATTATTTATTAAGTTTACATTAAAGGTAATAGACAGAAACAATCATTTATATTTTATTGAATAATTCAATGTCGACAGATTGAACATGTTTTTCAAAACTTTCTATTTGTTCTATCAGCCAATCTACAGATACCTTATCATCTTCTATGACACACATTATCCTAAACTTATGGATGCCATAACCCACTGCAACTAATTTGGCTAGAAATATAATATGTATACAATTAATTGTAAAATTGATTTTCAATGAAAAAAATGAGAAAACAACTTACATGCTCCCCAAACTATACCATCCATTTGAATAGACCTTACAGCTTCTTCTATGGCTTTCATGTCAGTTTCATTATCCCATGGTTTAACATCTAACACAACACTAGATTTAGCAATGACTGCTGGTTTTCTAGCCTTTTTTTCTGCATATGCCTTTAGTCTTTCTTCTTTAAGTCTCAAAGCTTCAGCATCTTCTTCTTCATCTGATTCAAAGAAATCCACATCATCCTCTTCATTCTTAGCTGTTGTTGTGTTAGTAGAATTATTGCTATTTAAGATAGTAGGTGTTTTCTTTTCTCCTGGAAGTGTCTTTAAATCGTATGATTTGATGTGATTATACCATCTTAAAACATGAGGGTTTGAAGATGTTGGAGTCTTTCCTAAAGCTTCAAGAACTACTACATCTGCTTGAGTGGGTTGCCACCTTAAAAATATAATAACTTTTATTTGACGCTATTATAAAAAACTAATTATGTTTTTACTGAAACGTTAAAAATAAATTGTTGTATAAGAGAATGATATGTTTAGTGTATTCTATATTTAAATATAATAAAAATAACTATTTTCATTTTAACATTTATATACTTCTCAATTCTAAATATTATATTTGTACTTAAATATATAGTCTAAATGTAACTTGTACTTTAATACACATATGAGCAGAATTAATTAATCCATTAAAAAATATTTAAAATGTTCTTGAAGATTGAAATATTAGATAAAGTTAAAAAACGTAGTTACTTTAAATGTTGCACAGAAAAAATTGAACGAAAAAAAAAGAAATAAAGAAAAATTAACACTTCCATGATTTTAAGATGCTGGTAAGTAAAGAACCACGTGTATTACAATACAAATTTTATAAACATAAAAATACACTTACCCTTCAATATAACTATGATCTGCTAAGTAGGAATTTAAATCTCTGACACCCTTATCAGTTTTAAGATCACCAATAGCCATTGCGTAAAATTAAGTAAAATAAGGACACCTAGCCGAATTTACTGACAATAAAGTCCCTTTTGTGCTTACCGGAAGAGAGAGAGCTATATGTAGCGGAAAGTTGATAGTTCATTATTTCGTCGTAATATGATGTTTTCCGGTGTGCTATTCTTGGGAAATAATAAAATAACTAGTGACTAATTTTAAACTATAATTTCTTAACAGAAAAATTTGTTTAACTTTACCAAAAATAAATATGTTGCATTTATATATTACAATTATTTCAGTTTGAAAATGACAAAACATTATTTTTAGTTCATTTTAATTTTTATTTAATGTTTTTCATACTTGTTTATAGAGACTCTATTGGTTCATATTATAGTTCTTTTTCGTTTAAGAGATTAAATATGATTTATTTGTTAATGTTTCATTAATTTATAAAATTCATATAGCAAATTTATATGTTAGTATACATATGTGCTTAGGATATGTTAGGAACATATATATGTATACATGAAGATTTATACATGATGATTGTTTTATTTTTACAAAGGTGCATTGTGAGAAAGCAATTCTACTCAATATTATAAGTACAATTGATAAGTTATTTATGTCAAATTACTTTTTTCTTTGATAGATGTCGCGATGGTGTGTTCAAAATTGAACCGATGTCACAAGGGTATTTGCTTGCCAATTCTCAGAAGTATATAGTAAAGTTATATATTTTTTGTGGCAAATTCTATTTTGGATTGATCTTTAGATCATTCGTTTTAGACGTTTCTAACGTTCGGGAGGAGATTGTGAAACGAACGAAAATTTGGTAATTCTTAATTAAATTAATTATTATTAGTGCTTTATAATAATAAAATAGTTTTATTATATTGATATTTAGTATATATTGATCTGGGTCCAATTTACGGCTATATAAGGGATGAGACTCAAGTGAAGCATTGAAATAAAAGTGATTTTTGACAATTTTTTATAACGTAAAATCTCGACGGTACTTTTCGTCATTTTCCGTATATATTCTTTAACATTTCAAGACATAACATTTATTCTTTTGTTACAAATTATCAATTTATCAATTTTTTGTGAAGTACTAAATATTTTCCATGAACCGTTCCGTCTACAATATGAATCAGCATTCAGTTCAGCATTTTTTTACATTTATCTACAATAAAAATTGAAATGCAGTTCTTACTAGAACTAAGTATCTTTTTAATCCGAATCCAATTTAGAAAAATACGAAATTAATGATAACACGCGGCTCTGAAAACAAATGAATGATTTTTACATAAAATTTTTATTTTTATTATGCAATAAACATAGTTTGAATAATTAATATTATGAATTCAGTAGGCTTATCAAATGAAGATCTTATATATATGTTTGTTTTGGATTAGTTCAATCAATTAATTATTTCTTAAATTGTGCTGCATGTTAATTTGATAAATGTGATTTTGGGAAAAACAGGTTTAAAGTTTTCATTTTAAAAGAATCAATACTTTGGAAAATTATTCCTGTTTGAATTTTGGTCTGAAATATTTATACTACATTCTTGAGATGTAAAAACATTGCTCTATGAAATTAAAAAAGAAATTAATTTCTTTAATTTGTTACTTGAGTTTATCATCTTAAAAATATATAATCTTATTATTTGCATATTTCGGTTATTACATAAATTTGATTATTATAATAATTACTAAAAACTTAAAGTTGTGATATTTTCTTACATAACAGTATAACATCAACCTATACAAAGTAATTGAACCAAAATGTTAAGACTTCCCGTGATAAGATTATCTACGGGATTACAGAATGGTAGAGTTTCTACTGCAGGATTACATACATCACTTAAGCTGCAACAGGAATTAATAGAAGTATTCATAGATGACAAACCAGTTCAGGTCCCACCAGGAACAACTGTTTTACAAGTAATATAACCTTCTCAATTCATTTACTAAGTGTCATTGACACAGTATAACTTCAATAGTTAAATTACTCAATAATATACTTATATATCTTTATTCAATGCTATGTTTAGGCAGCTGCAAAAGTGGGAGTGGAAATTCCTAGATTTTGTTATCATGAACGTTTAGCTGTAGCAGGAAATTGTAGAATGTGTCTTGTGGAAATTGAAAAGCAAGTTAAGGTATTTGTTACATATGTACACACATATTTCCTAATAAATTTCAATTAGGATTATATACATTTATGGTCTACATTTTGTAAATATTTAGCCTGTTGCAGCTTGTGCGATGCCAGTAATGAAAGGATGGAGAGTGAAAACTAATTCTGATTTAACTCGTAAAGCTCGAGAAGGTGTAATGGAATTTTTATTGGTAAATCACCCTTTAGATTGTCCTATTTGTGATCAAGGTGGAGAATGTGATTTGCAAGATCAGAGTATGGCATTTGGTAGTGATCGAAGCAGATTTGTTGACATTAATTATAGTGGTAAAAGAGCAGTAGAAGACAAGGATATTGGTCCTCTAATAAAAACTATTATGACCCGTTGTATACATTGTACAAGATGTATTCGTTTTGCATCTGAAGTGGCTGGTATTGATGACTTAGGGACTACAGGTCGTGGAAATGATATGCAAGTATGTTTAATTGTTAATTTGTGTATTGTTATCTTAAATTTTACTATTTGAATTATAATTTATCTTTAAATTATATTTTAATAGGTAGGAACATATGTAGAAAAGATGTTTCTGTCTGAGCTATCTGGTAACATTATAGATTTGTGTCCTGTTGGAGCATTAACAAGTAAGCCATATGCTTTCGTTGCCCGTCCATGGGAGACACGTCGTACAGATAGTATCGACGTCCTTGATGCTGTTGGTAGTAATATAGTAATATCACATAGAACGGGTGAAGTTTTGAGAATCTTACCAAGAGTGAATGAGGTTAATAAGATTATTACATCTTAAATTTAATTATAAATTTTAATGGTTTAATATTCTATAGGAAATAAATGAAGAGTGGTTATCAGATAAATCACGTTTCTCTTATGATGGACTAAAGCGTCAGAGGCTTATTACTCCTATGATGAAAATTAATGAAAAATTAGAAGCTGTTGAATGGGAAGATGCTCTTGCAACAAGTAGGCCATATCTATATTTTAAAACACTTTTAATCTTTTAGTTATATTATTTTTTCAATTATATAAATTATATACGTTTCTTTATATTGAGATTATATACTCTTTGTTAGCTGCTAAAGCTATCCAGAATATAATTCCAAACAAATGTGCTGCAATTGTTGGAAAACTAGTTGATGCTGAAGCTCTTGTGGCTCTGAAAGATTTAGTGAATAGGCTGGGTGGTGAAACTCTTGCAACAGAACAAAGTTTTCCAAAACACGGTGCAGGTATTGATATAAGGAGTAATTATCTACTAAACAACACAATTGCTAGGATAGAAGAGGCTGACATGGTATTATTAGTTGGTACTAATCCAAGGTATGAAGCACCATTGGTGAATACGCGTTTAAGGAAAGGATATATTCACAGTGAACAGATTATTGCTCTAATTGGTCCAAATATAGACTTAACTTATGATTATGAGGTAAACAAGGAATCTCAAAACATTCTAATAATATATTAATACAATCTATATATTATTTGTTAAAGAATCAGTGATTTATTTTAACATTAGCATTTAGGTCAATCTCCAGATATTATAACACAATTAAGAAATGGTACTCATTCATTTTCGAACACTTTGAAGTCTGCTAAAAAGCCTTTAATTATTTTGGGCATTGAGCAATTAACTAGGAAAGATGGAGCAAAAGTTTTAGCTGAAACGCAATTATTGGCTCAAGTCCTGGGAGAAAACACAAAAGTAAAAAATAATTAATAAAGGCATGTTTTGTTATTACAGTTATGATAAAATATTATAGTTTTGTTGGTTTTATGCTCTTTATTAGACTTCTGAAGAGTGGAAGATATTAAACATTCTTCATACAAATGCATCTCAAGTGGCAGCTTTGGATGTGGGTTACATGTCATCTGTTGAAGAAGTTAAAGAGCAACAACCAAAAGTTCTCTTCTTATTAGGAGCTGATGATACAAATATTAGAAAAGAAGATTTTCCCGATACTTTTGTTGTATATATAGGTATATAAAAATTGAGGTTGGCCTTAAACTTAATTTTTGAGTTTTAAATTCAACACTTTGTAAGATTTTGAAATTTTCGAAACTTTCAAAACTCACAATATTTAAAATGTTAATTTTGACCCATATTATGAATACTTTGTTTTAATAACTGAAGTCTTAATAAAACTTATGTACAAATACTGATTGATCACAATTTAACAAAATACAAACAAAAACATAACAATATACAAAACTATTTAATTCATATTCTTGTTAAAAAATACCAGCATTAGAGTTTTGACTGGATCTAGTCTTTCAGAGAATAATGTTAAGCATTAAAATGAGATACTTTTCCTTTACTTGTTGATTTTATATTTTTTCTGACTTAGGTTTCGGAAGTTTCAAATTACAAAAAATTGCAAAGTATTAAATTTTTGAAACTTAATATTTTGTTGGGTTTTGAGAGGTTTTGGAATGTTAACATTTTGGAAAACCTGTTCGTAATGAAAATAAACGTTTTATGATCTATCGAACATGAATGATCAACGGTTTAGGTAGCCACGGTGACGAAGGAGCTTCAATCGCAGATGTTATACTTCCTGGAGCTGCATATACTGAAAAAGTTGCAACATTTGTAAATATGGAAGGTCGTGCTCAACAAACTTGCGCTGCAATTACACCACCGGGTATGGCGCGACCAGATTGGAAAATTATTCGAGCACTTTCCGAAGTAATTTAACTAACATACTTTTAAATATAAGGTATAAGACGAAAAAAAATAAAATAAAATAAAATAATACTTTTATAGATTTGCGGAGTTTGTTTGCCATATGACAATTTGTCCGAAATAAGGTCTAGATTAGAAGAAATTGCACCACATTTAGTTAGGTATGGCATTGTGGAATCATCTAATTATTTTCCCCAGGCATTGGAGTTATCAAAGGTAAACACGCATATTATAAATTAATAACTGAACATGCTGAAATAACTCGATAAACAGTAAATGGTATTGATTCATATTTATTTTATTTTTGAAGGAGATGGTAGGCTCTTTGTCTTCAAATCCACTTGAAGTAAAGCAAAAAACGTTGGATCACTTTTTCATGACAGACGTGATATCTCGTGCTTCACAAACAATGGCAAAATGTATACAAGCAGTTATTAAACAGCGGGAAAGTACTTTATAAACATTTAAATTATAAATATAAATAGTAAATTGTATTACAGTAGTTATGTAATAATATATAAGAATACATTGAAAGTATGGTACTTTTATTAAAGATATATCAATACTATTTAATTTAACAGAATATACAAATTTAATAAAATGTTGAAATTCTTATATTCCATTATGTTATATTATGTTTACAACCATTTGGGGAAATGTAATATTTTTTATTATTATTTAATGTTTAATATAAACTAAATCAACGTTAAAATATCTCCTTAAGTATACTATCATGATTGACGGATTTCTAATATAATTCAAATATTTATCAGTCTGTTAATCAAAGCCACTTAAATATAGCTAATATACAAAGTAATACATATATGAAACTTTAACAAAATAAATAAAAATTATATATCATTTTGTAGTACTTATGATATATTGTGTTGTCACAATACAATAGTTTATTATTATTTTAAACAAGCAGAAAAAATATTTCCGAAATAATAGTCTTTTGCTATTATTACTATTATAACAACTTTCGATTTTTAAGGCAATATTAATCAATCGATGCGATCGACACAATTAGTTTCTTGTTGGTCATCAGTATCGAGTTCAATAGAACTTTCATCTGTATCAATCTAAGAGAAGAAAATAAATATTAGAAGTATTAAGTTTTTATCACTTATTAAAAAATGATCTATACATTTTTGAACAGAATTACGTACTTTTTCACCTAAAGCAATCAATTTTTCTTTATAAAGTATAATTTTACTATCTTGTTCTGTTAAAAGTTCTAAAAGATCTTCTTGGTCTTTTTTTAGTTTCTCTAGTTCTTCAGATTTTTCCTTTAAATCAATTTCATAACTATTCACCATTAAAGCATATTCTGCTAAACGATTTTCTAATTCTATAATAACAGTTTTATATTTTTCTGCTTCTTTTGTACAACCTTCATTGGCAGTAATATTATTGGATTCGCTTTCTTCAAATAGTAAATTAGTTTGTGCTGCCCGTAATACTAAATTTTGATCCTTCAAATGACTGATAGTTGACTGAAGATCATGTATTTGTATCTGCATTAAGAAATCATTAACTGGAATTGTATAAATTGTATCTAATTATAAATTATAAAATATTATCTATAAATATGTACTATACTGTACTTCGAGTTCGTGTTTTTCTTTAACAAGTGATTCTGAAAATTGATTAAGTTTCTGTATTTGACAATCCTGTTCTCGAATAACTTCTTTATATTGTGCTACTAAAACGGAATCTGGTAACATAGGTGTTGCAATCTGATTTTTATGATGTAAGCTACTTCCATCTAGAACTGACTTTATAATCACACCTAAGAATACACATTAGAACCAATATAAAATTCACAAAATTGTAACTTACTGAATTTATATTAATAAAGTAAATTATAAATGTGATTAATGATTACCCTCCAATGTTTTTGATAGCCTACAAAATTCATGATCTAATAAAAGATCTGAAGGATGCTTTGCTGAAGGTTGAGGATGTTTTAAAGTTCTGGAATACACTTCATGTCTAGCAAGACAACCAATAGCATCTTGAAATCTTTCTAATCCTATTCTATTTTCAATTAAATTACATAATTTTTCCTACAAAATAAAAAAAAAATACAATATAATGTTAACATATAATTGCCATACATATATAATTTATTTCATTTATATCTCATTTAACATGTTCATAACATTACCTTCGTATAATTAGAAATACTGTCATCATTAAAATGTACACATAATCCAATAAGTATAGCACACATACTTTGTAGCAATGTTTCTTGTAAATCATCATTATTTTCTTGTGATGACAGTAAAGCTGTCAAATAAGCTACAGATGAATCGATAAGTAAAAATGATTTAACAGCAGTTAGACAATGTGCAATCCATCTACAAAGTAACATTAGAAGACCTAATTTGCATTGTGTTTTATTGCCTTGTTGCAATAGCATGACACACTGTTGCATCAAGGTCACTGGTGGCTTTCCAATATTTGTTGCAAGTAATACACGTAACATTTGCTTCTTCTGTTTGTCATTATCAATCAGTGCATAAGATAATGCCACGGCAGAAAACCAATTTGATAAAGAATCCGAGGAAAATAAACCTCCACACAACAACTGTCCTAGCAATATTACATTCATAAAATATTTCTTGTTCAGCATATATCATATTATAAAAAGGAAATTTATAAGTCAATCATAAAAATAGCTCTTCACAAACCTGTCGTCAATGATGGCATTTCATTTCCTTGAGGCAACAAAGTCTGAATAAGCTGACTTTGTCCAATTTCGTTCTTATATAAAAAACATTGAAAGCAATATAGAACAGAACATCTTAAAGGAAATGGTTGCTTTTCATTCACCATAGACATAAGTAAGACAACGATCGCGGGTCTAGAAAAATTATATACAAATTTTGTAATGCATTAATGTGATAAGTTTATAAAAGTAAAATACATACTATGTGCATGAAAGTACCTAGGAGGATTGCTAGGTGCCATTACTCCAGCTAAAAATTCTTGGTTACTGGCATTTCCCCTAATAACTTCCGCAACAGTATTAATTGTCTCAGTCAACACATCAGCGGGTACGCCACTAGCCATCAATATATTGCATAAAGCTTGTAGAAGACCACAAGCTCTCATAATTCTTTGACAATTTGATACTGCCTTTACAGTATATACACATATATATATATATATATATATATATACACGCACACACGCGCGCGCACAATACATATATCATAGATTGGACAATCAGTTTTGAAGAACGAAAAATCAAACAACACAAAAAATTTACTCACTTACTTATACATTTAAATAGTTACCTGAGCAGGTCCACTTGGTGCTACTAAAGCACGAATTACTTGGACCATGCAATGAACATTTGATACCTTCTGTGGACTCCATGCACTTAGAGGATTGTCATCATTTTCTGATGGTATTTGGAACATTGGTGTTAATTTTTGAATATAACTGCCTAAAACGCATCAATAATAATAGTATTTTTATATTCATATTTGATGTAGCAAAATAACATTTTTTAAATTGTGTTACCTTCCTTAAAAAAATTTTGGTTACTTATATTACCCCTAAGAAGATTTAACATCAGTAATAAACAATCTTCTACAACAATACCACCTTCTGCATTGCCCTCTTGTGTAATAACATCAAAAATACGATCAAATGCATTTTCAAATGCAACAATCTTTTGAATATTTGCATTTCCTTTTGTCAGTTGAATAAGAAGCAATAAAACCTATAACATAAAACAAATTTTTAAAATTTTTGAACAGTAAACAAAAACATATATATTACAAGCTCATAGAAATGTACATCGTTACGTATAACTTCTCTACTATCACCAAGAAGATCCATTAATTTCGAAACACCCATAGGACTAACTAGAATTATTTCTTGTATATGTTTTAGTCTATTAGTTGATAAATGCATTAGTAACTTTAATGCTGGCCATCTTACTTTAAACTCAAATTCTTCTAAAAGCCCTAAAACTAATCCCACACTATCTGCATTTTTAATAAATATTTCTGTGAATTGTTCTCCTACTTTATTATTAGACCCATGTTTGTCGACTGAAATAAAATTTACATAAAGCACATTGAAGTTTGTATAAACAAAATTGACTAATAAAACTATATGCTATCATATAATAATTACCTTCTTCGTCGAATGCTTTAGGATTTATTATATTACACAGAGTATCCAATGCTAAACCAATGATTTCACAGTCGGTTCTATCCATTTCTAAAATTTGTCTCAATGCATCCATTCCTTGAGCTCCTACTTCAACACGATAAGTGCGTGAAAGAGCTTTAAGTGCTCGACAGGCATCTCGTCTGTCACTTAACAATGTTGATGATTGTAACCTGTCTACCAGTCGCTCAACCTATATAATTACTCCAATAAAATGAATGAAATTTAAAACGATAAATAATATAAAAGCAAATATAAAAAAAATTTCTGTATATCCCCAAATATTTCACTCTATTCAAACTATATACAGGTAATAACCGGTTTATAGACAAAATTGTTATTACCATGTGTTACATTATAAAAAAATAAAAAATTGAAACTACAAAATTAATCGATTAAAAGATTTAAAGTACCGTATCAGCACCCGATGGCTCGTTTTCTACAGATGATGAACCTAACACAGACTTCAAGCTGCTTTTAAAATATTCCATTTTGCTGTTGATATCATAAAAATTCTAAACTACACGTCATATAATATTGTCGACATTCTTCGTTTAATTAAAGTCACTGAAACAAATGATGGTTGGTAGAGGGCGTCAGCAACATTACTTTCACTGCAACGTCACGTAACCTTGAAAATATCGATACATTTTAGAATAGAATTTTTAGCAGGTAATAATTTAATATAGAGCGTCTATAAAATTTTGTCATTGATAAAACCCTTGAAGTTTTACATATTAAGTAATATTTTTACATACCACATGATTTCCCATCTAACTTCATGTAATGGGTACCATTTCATATTTACATCGGCTTTTGGTGTCTAATTTATGAAAATATTTAATGTTTAATGTATTAACGAACAAAGTATAAAGGAAGACTAATGATTTCAATAAATTGTTTACTGATCGTATTGTTTTATTTTTTAAAAATCAAAGATAATGAATATTACAATGTACGAAATACGATATTCGTATTAATTTATATAAAAAATTTTGTCTTAAATAATTAAAATTACTTCTCAATATATGTGATAATCTATATGCAAAATTATCTTCAAGTTTAATTATATTACGATATTACAGGTATTATATAATTGAATTAAAAATACAACTAACTTAAAAATGTTTGAATTATTAAGAGACGGAGCAGAACAATAATTTTGAAGTACAGAATAAAAATCACGTATTGTATTCAGCCAACAACATAATTTTAATTATAATTACTTTGATTTTGGTAATTATAGATTATAACAAAGTTGAAACTTTTAATGTAGAAAAATTAATTTAATTTAAATTAATTGGTAAGAATCGTTCATATTTTTCTGTTTTGCATACAGAAAATATTTTTTATATTTTTTGTATTACGTTTATATTTTATATTTTTTTTAATTATTGACATTTACATAAGTAAATATGCATATATCGATGTGCATTTTTGACTATTATGGTAAAATGGAGAAAGTAAAAAATTATGCAATACATGAAAACAATGTTATTTTAATTAAAATGTAATGTAAAGAAAGGTAAAGTAATTCTCGATGAAATTACATCAGATAAAAAAAAAATCAAAAATTCCGTTTTTTATTATACATTTCTCTAAATATAAGTAAGGCAAGTAAAATCGAACGTAGAAGTCATGTATTATTGCTGATGTAAGCCAGCACTAGCAGGAGCAGCAGCAAATGTGTGCATTTACTTACTTCCCCTTGATCAATTTTAGTATTAATAGCTTTAAATGAACACTACCAATGAACAAAAGTTATTATTTAAAATTATCTACAAAAAAAAAAAAAATATTTTCACAGAAAATATACAAATTAATGTAAGTAATGTAATAATCGAGTAATAAACATATATATGTGACAGAAAAACAATCGTATCGCTCATGTTGTCAGTTCTATTTTTACAGAGCTAGATAAAGACTAAGAAACAAGAAAAGCAAAGTATTTGTTATATGTGTAAATATACTATATTTAAATACTAATATTCCCTACTCTTGTGTAATAGAATTAGAAGAGATATTTATATATTTTTATACGAATTAAAGATTTCTTTTCATCGAAATATAATTTCGTGCGGAAAATTTAATGTAATGTAAATTAGCGATTGAATAATGATATAGTTTTTATGATATACATATGTCATATACAACGAATAATTAAATCTATATTTTCCACTTATAACAGAGGAAATATCGTTTATATAACGAAAATTATTGTATTTTAATTTTTTTATATTTATATTACAATTTTGTTTCATACTTTCATATTTATCTATCTCGTATTAATATTTATTATTTGTATTATATATTCAATTATAATTCAATTTATTAATTATTAATATACTTTACGTACGTTTTTCCTAGTCCTGTGAAAATATATTATATATTACATATTTTTCAGATTATGCATTGAATATTAAGAAAATATTCAGTGACAGTCAATTTTTTTATTTTAGTGAAAAAAGAAATATGTGCTATTCAAAACTGCATATCTCATATGATATCGTATAGTAAAATTTTATGTTCGCAACATATACATATATATTGAATCATTTAGAATCACATTTGTTAATGAATTTTTCTTATTTGTAATTTTTCTTTTTAATCATTTTCGAAATATTACCTTTACCATTTATAAGCATTGACTTATATTTTGAATAGAAATATAAATGATAAAATAATTTAACAAAAATTAATTCTATTAAAGATTTTACAAAAAAGATATGTTAAACATATAAAAAAGTGAAAGATTTAAAAATAAAATAAAATGAAGCATAAAATAAGAAAATCAATAAATAAATTATTAAGCAATAATAGCAGAATAAATAAAGATATAACCCAGTATTAATTGCAGAAAACTGTCAAAAGGTGAGTACAATTACTTTTTTGATAGTAGTTAATTTTGAAAGTGTAAAGGTGATGAAAAATTAATTTATAAAATATGTTATATAATAATGTAATTAATACATATATATAAATAATTGTGTACCGAATGTAAAATAGTATTACGGAATTTAAAGTAAGATTAATTAAATTTACATTCAACTAATAATAAAATAGCAATGATTACACAAGTAACAAAAGTAGAATGACTCTAAATGATAGTAAAAAGAAAAGATGGAAGAAATTAAATAAAAAAATACAGTAACATTACGGATACTTAAGTACAATACACGATTAAGTTGAAATAGTCTGTTTCGGACGTTAGACAAGAAACGGAAATGCCCGAAGTGAATTCAGTGCGAAACATCACGTAGCCGGTGTTGCTAGGCGGTCTGTTAAAGAACGGTGGAAGGGAAAAATTCAGGGAGAGGGGAGTATTGGTATAAAAGGCGCGTCATCATTGGGCACTAAGTCAGTTGTGTCGGTTGTGAATATGAGTGTAAATGTATCGTTTCTGATGGTGTAGTGTTACAGCTTCTAGTGAAAGTTTAAGAGAAAGGACTACTACTGTAGTTATTATTGCTACTTGTGTTTAAACAATTTAAAAGAGTGATTTTGCTGGCTTTATGAAATTATTAAATTATCGTTATTAAAAATATAATTTTAAAGCTTTGAATATATTTGCGACGTCGAAAAAATAATTTATCTATTGTGTATTTCAAGAAGGTCATTGTGACATTAGTCGTGTCCTGCGTCTGCTGTGTCGTGTATAATATCTTTTGAATATGGAAGTTTTACCCTGTCCCGTAAATGTGAATTTTAGTAATACGAGAGGTACATTTTTTTAGCTTCTATTCAAATACGATTGATTTTTTATTTTTCGATTTTTCTTTTTATTATTTTCATTCTTTTTTGTATATTGTATCTTGTATATACGTTTAAGGAATAATAATCGATCATGTAGCTGTTTCAGCTTATTTTCCAGATCAGCTGACTTTTGATAGAATAAAGGAATATCGTTTTTCATTTTAATATGCGCTACTTATTTTTTTCAATTTTTTATAGAGCTGAAACGCACTCTTTAGTCTGACTTTTTCATAATGTTTAATTAACTACTATTTTTATTTCGTTAGTAATATCTTTGAAACACATAGCTGCATATAGAATATATATCTTTTTCACTTATTCTTTCATGTTTCTTTGTTTTTGAGCTAGGGAGATAAGGCATAGAAAGAAAATTCTTTTTATGAATAAGTGATAAGTAAGCAATATTATAGTAATTATTTGCGTTATAGAAGGCTGTTTATTTTGTAATATCAAGAATACTTTAATTATGCAGATAATTCAATGCCGGTACAATCGGCCGGTATATGTATAAAATATGTTGAACGTATTTGTGTATGCGTGCGCATCTAGCAAGCGCAGCTAGTTAAATTTGTGTATAATATCATGTAGAATAAGTCCTGTATCACCGTGTTAGTTGATTATAGTTAGCGACTATATTTGATTTTAGGAAATTTCGCGTATGTAGGAAATTCAAAATATTTCTGCCCCATTAAATACAAATACTTGTTACAAAATATCGAGGTCCTAAAATTAGTAGTCTGTTAAATATGTAATTTCATGAACCTAGTTTTAAAAATTGGTTAGGGATAACAACAGTCAATTGACACAACAATACTGTATGTAGAATCATGATAATATTGATCATGATGATTAAAAGTTATTGATTGTATTGAAAAAGTTTGCGTGAAAAAATAGAGAAGCAGTGGTAAGCAAGGATAATTGTAACTGATTGTTTCTTATCTTAGCTGGAACAGTGGCTGAAGAATTTGATGGAGCTTGTCAGGCTCTAGCAAAACGTTTGGAAGTGGAATTAAGGCGAGCAAAGCACGTACAGTTAGCATGTGGGGAAGTTCTGTTGCCTGCTGACCTTTTGCCTAGAATAGCTAAAAATGTACTTAGTATGGCTGAGAATGAACCTTGTGGTCTTAGGTAAGATATTTATCAAACATTTTATGTAATATTTGCTTTCTTACAAGTATACATACGCTTGTTATATGCATAGTATATTTATTGCAGAGGTTGCACCTTGTTCATTAGTTTTGAAACAGACAGTGTATGCAGAAAATTATCAAAAATACAATGTGATCCGAACACAATATCTACTTTTGAACTTTATTTAACTTTGAAACAAGATCATACATCTTGGCATATTCTATTACCTCAGTTTTTAAAGTAAGTAAAGTAATAACTAGATTCCTGTAAATAAAAAGAAATACCTTTTACTAATGTATTTGTTTTTCTTTCAGAAATCTTACTCGGGGAGGTACCATTATGATCAGTCGAGATTTTACTTTAGAAAAGAAGAAATTGTATAGATCATATCAACAAGCACAATGAATGATCCTGTGACATCTAAAAGTCATTGGTTAATTTTCTTCAGAAATGTGATTATTCCAAGCTCCTCTAATTATAATTAGGTCTCAATGTCGCCCTTTTTATTTTCAATGTAAAATGGGCAAATTCATTTATCCAATATGTGTATATTTCACAATATATTTGTGTTTAGTTAGCCAATGTAAGAAATGAATAATGGGAAAGTAATATAGTAAAGAGAAGAGAAAAAGTGAAAAGGAATGGGTACATATGCGCGCGCGCGCGCATAGAACTAGTGGGGAGGGGGGTCTATACATTTTGACAAATGTGATAGTGAGACAACTGAGAACATTTTTTAGTATTGTCAAGGCTGAGAAGTTTCCTTTATGTGATTTCTATGTTTTGTATATTTCCTATCATTCGTAATTTGGTTTAAAGATCGTCCTCTTAAAAATATATACATATCCAATCTATTAAGTTTAAAAACATTTGGCGATACTAGTTTATAGATTTGCATAGGGAGGAATTCTCTTGCAAAAGATAAAAACTGTATTTTCGTTCAACGAAAATGACTCGATATACAAGACTTGTAACTGATTTTTCTGCGTATACAGATAATAATATACTGAAATTTAAATAAAGTTTTGTTTGTTTATAGCAGAAATAATAGTAGTAGTAGTAGTAAAACTATATAAGTACTAAGAAGAGTAGATGTATAGATATGTTACATACTTATTAGTTTCAAAAATACCAATGGATATCTAAAGTAGTTTTCTTTATTATAAATTATTTTTGTAATTTCCAATATAATTTTGTTTTTTAGCGTGTCCCTTTTTTACTTATCGGTTATATATCTATTCTTATTCTTGTAATCTTGTTTTCGAACTTCTTAATTCTGTATTTCAAAATATTTCGATATAATTCTTTTATGTGTAGCAGTAATCAGCTTAGATATCGATTGGATACAATGTTGTGATATTAATGAGAAAAAATACGATTGATATGAAAAACAAATTATACGATATTTTGAAGGTTAGCTATATGTGCAACTTCTCTGATATGTGTACAGAATATCAATAACATTGAAGTATAATTTGTCTAGTACGTAACTAATTGACAATTTATTATTATTATTATTATTATTATTATTATTATTTCTTTATTATTGTTATTATTATTAATATTATTATCATCCGCAATCATTATCATTTTATGAAATCGTGTTATTTTAATGAAAAGTGGTTCATTTTCAAAATTAAAAATGGTCATATTTGAAGAAATAAAAAAAATATGTAGGAGCAACCACGCATATGACATTATAAGACTGATCAGCGTTAGAATTTTTTAAATAATATTTGTATATGGGCAAAAATAATAAACAAAATAAAAAGAATAATAAACAAGAAACTGAAATGCTGAATAGCTTATCAAATGCGTTACAGTTTAAGTCGAGGAATATTTAGGCAAGTTTGTTCAAATAAAAATAGTTGAATATAAAATAATCCTCTTGCGGTTGCGCTAACAACAAAAAAATAAAAGAAAAAGAAACGCCCGATATATGTGATTTTATTGATTACGTAGGAGTAATCGGTATATAAGATGCTGTTACATATATTTTGTACTTCATTAAAGACAGTAGAAGTATAATGGTGCGCGTGAATGCGTGTGTGAGTGCATAAAGTGGTGAGAGAGAGAGAGAGAGAGAGGGGGGGGGGGGGGGGAATAGGCTGTGCTTTATAATAGCACCTGTGGCCAATCGATACAAAATTTGAAAGAGGAGAAGATAATGTGTGCTCCTTAAATATAAAATGTTTATTTCGAGAATTGAATTGTTTCTAAAATATTAATAAAAAAAATTTTTTGTACCATAGATTAAGTTTTATTCATATAGACATCATTAAATATAATTATTTTCGCTAGTCGTCGTGTCGTCGCTAATTGTCGACCAGATAATACCGATATTAGTCTCATTATCTACAGGATACCCACTATAAAATTCACATGCCTCTTTTTAACTTACATTATTTTAATTATATCCATTGATTAGATCTATGCAGATTAATTTGGTTTAGGTTAAACTAATATTTTGGCTAGCTACACAAACTGAACTTGAAAAATTCCATGTATGATACCAAAAGATTTTTTTTATTAATATTTCGAAAATTATTAAATTCCCAAAACTAAAATTTTATATTTGGAATTCATACCTTCTCCCTCCTTTTCTGCCAAATTTTATGTTTTATGGCTACTGGTGTCATTTTGAAGGATATTTGGGAGAGTTGGGAAGGAGGGAAGCAGGGAGAGAGAGAGAGAGAGAGAGAGAAAGAGAGAGAGAGAGAGAGAGCACATGTATTTAATTTTTTTATATATTGATATATTGTTAAATATTATTTGCTTAAGAAAAATGTAATGGGAAGTTGAGCGATAAACAATTGAAATTTTGAATATTGTATTTAAAATGAGTGACTTTTTTTCTTCATTAATTCAGATTCATTGAAATTTGTTCATATATTTAATCTTTTCAGAATAGAAGATTTACGCTACAACTATGTTTTTTACAATTTTCATTACATCCGATGTGTTTTCTTATCAAACAAAATGTTATGGATTTACAAAATGTCTAGTTTTTTTTATAGCTTATTATCGCTTATATGTGATGTTAATTCTAATTTGTGATCATAATAATGGATAAAAAAAAGCAAAAAGTTTTGATTTTGTTTTATTTACCTAAATAAATAGAAAATTATTTAATTTGATTAACATTTAAAACGATTCAAATTGATACATTCTCTATCCTGTAAAATAATATGACTTCTGAATATTTTACAAATTTCTCTCTTTTATTATTAAAATTATTTAACAGTTTTATCTATGTAGAAAATAATAATGAAATTTTTATCACAATTCTATTTTTTCTTTTTGCGAATTTAAATTATCTTTACCTATCTGATGATTATTGAAATTGTATTGCTGATTCTTTTTCTGCGGGAATTCTTATTTCATGTCATTTTGGATTTTTTGTTAACTGACGAATATAAGTTACCTCTTCTTGCTTATTACTACTGTTATTGCTAACAGCATACTTCGAAATTTTTATAGAAAAGTTATTATTCGGATGATCATTCTTATTTTCTGTTGATAACTCTGTGCTTTATTTGTATACAGATAAAGAACAAGTATTTTTTTTTTTTAAATAATGACTTGTCTTTTTTCCGTTTTAGTGGCTTAATTTTTTGATTCCTGAAACATCAATTCTGTTTTAATTTTTTTCGTTAACGTATTTTGATTTTGTTTGTTATTGTTTATGCGTTATTTCGATAGCGTGCTTGTTCAACGACTTTATGGCAATCATTAATGGTAAAGGCGAAATAAATGTTCGCAAAAAAGATGATTTTTGTGTAAAAATTTGCGACACGTTCCCAAATGTCCAAGAATCCATCGATAGAGGTCGTGGTTCAATATCAACAATTAAATGCACTGCTCTTCCAATTGTATTGTGTTTCAAATAGGAATGAAGTCTTGAAAATACCCACTAAAAATAATAAATAGAAGTAGATAAAATAGATTACAATTAAAGAAATTGTGAAGTCAATACTCGCATCGAACAAGCGTATCCAAACTACATGAGAACATTGACTACTGAATTTGAACACTTTCTTTTTGAAACGATACTTCCGAAGCACATTTGCAATTGCTGTGTCAATAATTTTTTCACGAATATGAGCAATTCGATGTTCTATTAATTGATCCTGTAGAAATTCCTGCCACTTCAGTTCTCGAATGTTGGATGGTATCAAATGAGATACATTTAGAAATTCATATTCCATCTAAGTAAACACAGTAGTTTCTTTCATATTTAATGAATAAATTTTTATTTCATTCATTTTTTTTTTTTTTTCTGAAAGTTATCGAACGATACTAAAATTTGAAGTTCAGAAGTAATTTAATAAATATAAATTTGTAAATATAATACATATAACTTTGTGTTCCATGTTAAAACTTTAATAAAATTACGTTACACATATTTAACGTTTAAATGTTTTATTTTTTCTTCATATATTTATTGTCTCGAAGTATTTTTCTTTTTCCTCTTATAGAATGTATAATATACACGCAACAAATAAATAAACTTTGTTGGTGTCGAACATCTTTTTACAATTAGGGCAATTACATGTGTATCATTACCATCCATATTTTTATAAATAAATATCCTATAATAAACTCGTAAACCATACATATATACATACTTCCAGGCATGTACATATCTAGTTAAAATGTACGAACGAACGATAGATTCGAAGAAAAGTCACGAGGTTAGATACGAAATATTACTTCTACATAAACGCTCATACTCTACAATATTGGCTATTTATAATTATAGCTCAAAATACTATTTATAATTTTGTGTTTGATTTTAATTTGTATAACAGAAACAATTAACAAATATTTTTGTTGCATTTGTATTGGTCGTATTATTAATTTTGAAAGATCATTTTAATTACATAGAATAACTTATATTACCTCGTGAAATAAGCAAGGAACGTAAAGGAGGATACGAGGTAGATTCAGTAATACATCTAGAATTATTTCTTTCTCATCTCAGCTTACAGTACTATTACTTAGTTATAGTTTTTTCTACAAAAAATTAACAAATATTAAATTAAACGACAACTAGAAACAAGAATATAAATCCCATCATGCTTCAATTGTTATTTTCCTATCAAATTTTCATACGCAAGCAGCGCTTCTTTGTAAATAAGCATACATGATGGTAAGACTTTTCGATATTGCAAAAACTTGCGACAAGATAATACTGATTTTCTTGTTCTCGTATTAATCACGTTTCTTCCTTGCTCATTAAATGGTACTATTTTCATACTACTACATTATACGGTTTAACAACCAAAAAAGGTAAAAAAGTTGGGGGTGGGGGCACAGCAAAAGTGAAAGGGTAAAAAGAAATAATACAATTCTGATTGATTGATAGGAAAAAATATTTGCGTCTTAACCCATAATGCCAGTTATAACGCCACCAGATACAGGAAGACCAGTTTCTCCCATTAAAGCCAGATCTATTTCTCTTGCTGCTTGTCGACCTTCTGTAATAGCCCAAACTACTAGAGATTGTCCACGCCGGCAATCTATAAGGAATATGTCAATCATTGAATAAACTATGAAGTGTATCTTAAAAAATGAGAACTTGTTCTATGATTAGTAGATGTTAAAGAAAAAAAAGATACAAACAAATTGCAAAAGATACTTACCTCCTGCTGCATATATTCCAGTTAAACTTGTCTCGTATTTACCAATTGATGTTTTGAAATTACCTCTTTCATCCATTGTTGTATTTAACTCTGTTGCAATATATTTTTCAGGACCCAAGAAACCCATTGCGAGTAGAACTAGGTCACATTTATATACCTAAGAAGAAAATAAGCAATTACGTAATTTCAAACTAAGAAAGTCATTAAAAATCGTAATTTTTACCTTTTCTGTTCCAGTAATTTCTTCCATATTCCAACGACCATTTTTCATTGTCCACGATACTGATATTGTTTTGATGCCATTCACATGTCCATTTCCATCATCTAGAAACTCCTGTTGGATATAAGCAAGCAGGATAGGTATATTTATTTCAAACAATTATTTCATATAAAATACAAACTTTTACATACTTTACTTAATGTACTAAATTGTCGAGGGTCTCGACCAAACTTTAAAGAAACTTCTTCATGACCATAATCCACTTTAAATACACGTGGAAACTGTGGCCAGGGATTTTCATGTGCTCTTTTGCTTGGTGGTTCAGGTAAAATTTCAAAAGTAGTAATCGTATTAGCACCCTGTATTATAATGGTAATCATATGATAGGTAATCAAATGGTAAACATATGCATCAGATCAAATCATCAGAACATCCATCAGATCAGATGGACCATTCAATGTTATTTAATTCTATCTAATGAAATATTATTTTCGCGAAGCATCCTGTATAAAACTATATGAAAAATATAGATATTTGTACCTGTCGCAAAGATGTAGCTATGCAATCGCAACCAGTATCACCGCCACCTATTATAATGACATCCTTATCTTTAGCTATTAAACGTATATCTAGTGGAGCGTCGTCTCCCATTTGTTTCTTTTGCCAATGTTCCAAAAAGCTTACTGCAAAATGAATTCCTTCGAGATGTCGACCTGGTATTTCTAAGTCTCTTGGCCAAGTCGCACCAGTACATAACAACATTGCGTCATATTGTTCGCTTAATTCCTATGATATATAAATATACAAAAAATTAATACATATGAATAAAACTAAAAAACTCGATTCTCTAACCTTAGCAGAAATGTGTTTTCCAACATTAACTCCAGTTTTAAATGTAATACCCTCCGCTGCAAGAAGAGAAACTCTTCTTTGAACAATTTGTTTCGATAATTTCATAGTCGGAATACCATATTGCAATAGACCTCCAATTCTGTCATTCCTTTCATAAACAGTCACTAAATGTCCTGCTTTGTTTAGCTGATGAGCTGCTGCCAAACCAGCTGGTCCAGAGCCAACGACGGCTACTCGGCGACCAGTTCTTGTTAATGGTGGATGTGGCACTATCCAACCCTTTTCGAATGCATGATCAATTATTGCACACTCTATGTTTTTTATTGTAACTGCTGGTTCTGATATACCCAAAACGCAAGCACCTTCACATGGAGCAGGACAAACTCTTCCGGTAAATTCTAAATATATGGGATGTATTTAAGTGTTATGCGTTCAACAAACATGCGTTGTTAATTACATTCTTTGTTTACAGTTTTTTTACTATTCTTTTAATTGTACGAACCTGGAAAATTATTAGTTTGTAACAACTGATTTAAAGCTTCTTTCCAATTTGATTGAAAAACGAGATCATTCCATTTAGGAATAATATTTCCTAGGGGGCAGCCATGACTGCTTTGACAAAATGGTACACCACATTCCATACATCTTGCTGCCTGAATACGCAATCCTTTACGAACATCATGAAAATTATAAATTTCATTCCAATCGGTAATACGACTTTCAACTGGCCGATAAACTCCTGTTTGCCTTTTGTATTTCATAAATCCTCTACAAATAAAAATTTGTACAGTATTATATATTAATATTTAAATTAAAAATAAAGAGATACAATTTAAACTTTGTTTTTCAATTAAGTCGTTAAATTGAGAAAGTATTAATACCTTATTTTGTCCAATCTATACTGTTTCATATCAGTATCTGCAACAGCATCTTCAATATCTTTGATCTGAACATCTAATGTCTGAGAGCTACCATTCGGTATTGATTGTGTCTCTTTGCTTATTTCGACTTGCTTTAATGCTCGTTGATATTCATATGGAAATACCTTTAAGAAGATTAGAATATTAGCAGTTAACACTTCACATAAAATAGTTGCAACTGATTAATGATCTTGAATATTTATTACTTTAACGAATCGCGTCGTTGGTTCAGGCCATAATGTTAAAAGATCTTGAGCTATTAAAGAACCAGTTTTTTCAACAAATTCTTCTAAAAGTTCTTTCACATATGCAATATCCTCTTGTTTATTTAAAGGAAGCAATTCCACCATTTCAGAGTTACACTTACTGTGTGCAAGAATTAACAAGTTAAAGAAAATATGCATTTACGTATAATAAATAATGCAGATAAGGATAATCTCTAGCAAACAAAAAACCTTTTGAACGACCCGTCTACATCTAAAACATAGGCTATGCCACCAGACATTCCAGCAGCGAAATTACGTCCAGTAAGTCCCAGAATAACCGCACAACCACCAGTCATATATTCGCATCCATGATCACCAACGCCTTCAACCACTACTATTGCTCCACTGTTGCGAACGCTAAATCTTTCAGCAGCGATTCCACGGAAATATGCTTTGCCAGAAGTTGCACCATAAAGACAAACATTGCCAACAATTACATTCATTTCAGAATTGAAGGTACAATCTTTTGGTGGATATATAACAATTTCACCTCCACATAAGCCCTAAAAATTGCAAAAATGTATATAAAATATGTTTATGAGTAGGATATATGTATACTCTTTAAATAGTTGAATTCAAAATATATATTTACCTTGCCAACATAATCGTTGGCATCTCCTTCAAGAGTAACATGGATACCTTTTGTCATGAAAGCACAGAAACTCTGACCTGCAGAACCTTTCATTTTTATGTTGATACTACCTTCTGGTAAGCCATTTTCACCATATAATCTATTAATGAAAATGTAACAGCAAATTTCAAAAATATTTAAGGAGAGTTGTCAGGGGTGTCCATAGCAAAATAAAAAACAAAAAAAGAAAAAAGAAAACTAAATACTTACTTTGAAATATGGTAGCTCAATGTAGCTGCAAATGCTCTACATTCATTATTAATACTTAACTCAATATCAACATGATTTTGTTTTCCATTTAACACATTTGTCGCCAATTCAATCACACGATTATCTAATCTGTTCTCTAATTGAAAATCTTGTTTTATTGAACCTCCCTGAATATTTACTCCTGGTCGAAGTTCAAGTGCATTACGCAAAATATTATCGAGTTTTAATGTTTTAGCTTTTTCTATTAAAATATCATTACGAACTTTCAATAGATCCGTGCGACCAATTAGATCTTGAAATTTACGTAAACCAAGATCAGCCATGTAAGAACGTACCTGAAAAAAAAAAGATTATTTTGTATAATTTAACGCAATTTTGATTCCTTTTTTCTCTTCTAATTCTTGACTTTACATACCTCTTCTGCTAATGCGACAAAAAAATTAATCACATGTTCAGGTTTCCCCTCGAACTTTTTTCGAAGTATTGGATCTTGTGTTGCAATACCCACGGGACAAGTATTTAAATGACATTTTCTCATCATAGTACAACCCATGGTAATTAAAGGTGCTGTGCTAAAACCAAATTCGTCGGCACCTAGAAGAGCTGCAACTACTACATCAAAACCTGTACGCATTTGACCATCTGCTTGAACAATGACACGTGATCGAAGATTATTTAAAGTTAATATTTGATGGGTTTCTGCAACGCCTAATTCCCATGGTAACCCTGCGGATTTTATTCCTGTCCAAGTACTAGCTCCAGTTCCGCCATCGTGACCAGATATTACGATATGCTCTGCTTTACCCTGTGTAAAATATATGATTAAAAAAAATGCAATAAAAGAAAAGAAAGAAATAAAACAAAATAAAAAAGACCATTAGAAAAATGTATTTGAAAATTATTTTAATAATGTCCATATAATTACCTTTGCTACTCCTGCTGCGACTACACCTACACCTACTTCTGATACTAACTTAACAGAAATACGAGCATTTGGATTTGCGCATTTCAAATCGTAAATCAATTCCGCAAGATCTTCGATCGAGTAAATATCATGATGCGGTGGCGGTGAAATTAAACCTACACCAGGTACCGAATGTCTCGTTGCAGCAATTTCAGCTGTAACCTGAACATAGATTATGTCAGTTCGTTCATTTTCTTGTGCTACATAGTACATGATAAAATTACTAAATATCTGCTTTAAAAAATCATGTGCTCACTTTATAACCAGGCAGTTCGCCTCCTTCTCCTGGTTTTGCTCCTTGTGACATTTTGATTTGAAGATCATCAGCATTTGCTAAATAACTCGAAGTTACACCAAAGCGTCCACTGGCAACTTGTTTAATGGCTGACCGTTTGTTAAATTTTGGATCCTGTTTGAGATATCTAAACAGGTTTTACTCCACATTATTAGGCGATTGTTACAAGCATTTTGAAAAATAAATTTTTTTCATAAAAAGATGCAGTTTTGGTAACTTTATTATACCTTTCAGCATTCTCACCACCTTCACCAGTATTTGATTTACCACCAATATGATTCATTGCAATCGCTAAAGTTGTATGTGCTTCTATAGAAATGCTTCCAAAACTCATAGCTCCAGTTGCAAATCGTTTTACGATTTCAGATGCTGGTTCAACTTCTTCAATGGGTATAGAATTTTCTGCTTTCTGTATTAACTCTAGTTGACCACGCAAAGTGCAAGCCTTTATCATTTCCATAGTAATTTTTCGATATTTCTCATAAGTCTTCCAATCCTTTGAATTTACATAATCCTGACACAGAAAAAATAAGTACAAAAAAAAAAAAAAGAGAAGAAAAAATAATAATTATATCTCATTTTAAGTATATTATTAAACATTATTTCATATATGAAATATATTATTGAGGGAATGTACCTGCAAATTAGCAATACTATCAGGTTCGTTTATGTGTTTTTCTCCACCAGATCGCCAATGATATATGCCTGGGTTACGAATAACGAGCATATCCATAGGTTTCATCCAATAAGTAATTTGGTGTCTTTCAAATGCTTCCTTTGCTAAAATATCAAAAGTAACTCCACCGATACGGGAATGAGTGCCCTATGAAACATATACAGAAAATTAATTTTTTGCGATGGAGTACTACTTCACCATGTTGAAGCTATATATAATATAATATAATATAATATAATATAATATAATATAATATAATATAATATAAAGTACGTCATTAAAATACATTGAATCATAGCAGCTGGTTGTATTCATTAATTGGATCCAATTTTTAATCATTCGTATTTTTTACAATCAACCATTATTAAAATGGACATCATCCTGTTTCTGTGTAAATACATACCTTAAAACATTTATCAATAACTTCTTCAGATAAACCAACTGCTTCAAAAATTTGAGCTCCTTTATATGATTGTAATGTGGAAATTCCCATTTTTGCCATTACTTTTGCTATTCCTCTCTCCATTGCTTCTGCGTAATTCTGTAATAATATATTTGTTTAATTTCATCTTTCAAACCAATCAACGCTAAGATCATCGTTATTGCCATCTCTTTTTCGTTTCATATTTATTTTATTGTTAAAAATTATAAAGTGCCAAAACTTATCTGTATTATAATAGTATTAGGAAGTATTTACCGCGCATAAAGCATTATCAGTTAATGACGAATCTAATACACCATCTGTACGAAGATTTCTTGCCATTTCAAACACAAGGTATGGACAAATGGCGTCTGCTCCATAGCCAAGAAGTAGGCAAATATGATGCACTTCTCTAGCTTCAGCAGTTTCTAAAATGAGACCAACTTTCATACGCTGCCGCTCTTCGATTAGATAATGATGGACTGCGCCAAGTATTAATAAGCTGCTCACAGGTACCCTATAATAATAAGCAAAGTTTAAGTTATTAAAAAATTGCTCGACATAATGAGTTCTTATTTCCTTTTTGTATAACTGTAAGAAGAATAAATAAGTACGATTAAATAATATTCTTACCTTTTCGGACCACCTTCTCGATCGGATAAAACGAGAAATTGATAACCTTGTTTTGCAGCTTGATTAGCTTCTTCACTGACACGATTAAGCGTATCTACTAATCCAGATGGACCATCTTCTACAGGGTATGTTGCATCGATTATTTTAGTCTTCCAATCGCGATATTTTGTTCGTTTGATTATTTCAAGATCATCTAAGGAGAGTATCGGTTGTGGTAAAAATAATCTGTGCACTTGCAATTCGTTTGGCTCGAGGATATTACTTTCTGGACCAATGGGACAAAGCATTGACATTACTATCTTTTCTCTAAACGGATCAATAGGAGGATTTGTCACCTATAAATTCCAGAAAAGTAACAAGAAAAAATATAAATATACCTATATAAATAATGTTTAATATATTTATATGCGTATTAAAGTATATTACATTTAGTTACTGATAATAGAGAATTTTCTTTAAATTAGTTTTACCTGAGCAAACAGTTGCTTAAAATAGTCGTAGATAAGTGGTTGAAATTGAGAAAGACAAGCCAGTGGTGCATCATTTCCCATGGAACCCAATGCTTCCTTCCTACACAAAAATTTCACAATTTCAATTTATGTTATACATAATATGTATGTGTCACATTACAAATAAAATAATCCAATCAAATAACATATACATATATTTTTATTTATCGGTTACAATGAAAGGCTCGAATTATAAAATTCACATACTTAGACTGCATCATCGGTAAGAGAAGTAAATTAATGGTTTCAAGAGTGTATCCATAGAGGGACAATCTTTTATCACCTCCCCAAACTCGATTCACAGCAGATATTGGATTTGCCTCATTCACCACATTTATTTTAGTTGCTTTTTCATCTATAACTGAACCATTTTCAACAGTACCAGATATCTTTTTAGGATCAACATCTGCAGCACGTAACTCGTCCATCGTAATCTGTGACCGTAAACATATTTAACTAATCAACTTTTATTTATTTGTATGAATTATTTATTGCATAAATTGATCAAATCAGTATTATTATACGTGCAATTACTTAAGAATATTCTAAAATTAAACTAGCATTATCCATTGAATAAAATAACAGCAAGAGAACATATGATGTGATTACTTATAAATAGAAATGTGGACGAAAGTTCACGACTTACCATCTGTGTGCAATACAAAATATGACCACAGCATATATGTTTGTTTGCAATAAAGAAATAAATGCTTTTTTTGTTAAATACATCTTGATATAAATCTAAAGAGTAGATTAAAGATTTGCATAAACAGGTAATTGGTAATTTAACTCAATTTTAAATAATTTTAAACCAGATTAAATTGTTTGTATCAAGGAACAGATATTCCGATCAACAATAGAAAAAAATAAGACAAATAGAATACCTGATCCTTCAGCCACTTAGAATGTGGTCTACTTCTTGAAATTTGCAACTTCAGCTCAACATCCTCTATAATCTTCTTTTCATATGTGTCAACCAGCAACATCCTACCTGGTTTCAAACGACTCTATAAAATAAAATGCAAACCTTGTTTAACTATGTCCTCAATTATTCAACATTTGTATGATTGTATTTTTATTTTCATAAATTCTACAATTGTACATACAAGGTAAAACTATCTGTCAAAGGAGACCATTTCTTACTATTGAATCATTCTTCATACAAAGTTTATTCAATAAAATGTGGTAATAGCACTATTTCATAAAATATCAATACATGTTTGATTGTTCTGTGTAAATAATTTTCAAATCCTAATTAACGTTAATAATGTCCTTAATACGTAATATGTAAATAAAATAGTTAAATACAAGCAGCTTGTTAATATTTATTTCTTTTTGTTTTTGTTTAAGAGATGAAAATTTTGTTAAACATTAATAAGGAAAATTACAAAACATAAAGCATACATATTATGAAATATACACATTCCAAATTCATAACGTAAAATACAGAAAGAAATGACGAGAAAGAACAAAAAAAATTAAGAAAAATAAAGAAACAGAGGATGTAAACTAGGACGCGAATAAAAAAAAATGGGATGATAAATTTACTTCATACTAGATCAAATTTATAAAAAGAAACAATGGCTCATTAAACTTTAGAACATAATTTGAATATTATAAGTAGTGAAAGAATATGATAGTAATAATTTGCTCCTGGTATACATGTAGTACTGTTCTTAAATCTGAAATCTTTCCATATATAGCTAAGCTATTGTTTACTATGAATTAAATATATCATAACATTACTTTAAAAACTAGATGGACTCAATGCTACATGTAACTTTTCATTTACCTTTAGAACTATATTACTAGACGAAGTATCATAGACGCCTACTTCAGATGCCATCACCATCATATTATCCTTAGTAACGTAGAAGCGCGATGGACGCAGGCCGTTTCTGCGAAATAAAAATTTAAGAATCTTTTGTCTTACCACATTGTACTATCTTACACTAGTATTAATTGCAATTCTATTTTTTTTTTGTTTGTTTTTCATATTGTCTTCCTAATATACACTACATATTAGATTTTCTTTTCCCATTCTTCAGCATTTTTCACTCATTTATACATAATTTTAACCTTTCTTCATCAATACTCAACACAATAAACACTTTTTATGTTTAACTATCTAACTGTGGTAATTAATTATGGATTTCCCTATTTATGTATACAAGGATTCTGTAGGAAGTGGATACAACTGACAATAGTGCTGATATCTTTGGTTATGAGACACAAAAAATACAAATAATGATTTTTTTTGGTCAGATAGATTTTGTTTATGCTATATTCCGTGTCTAATAATATATTATTATACTTTAAATATTCTGTTACATTAACAGATCTAAATGTTTTCACCATCTTTCTTCCTAAGTTTTCATAATGCATGCCTACTATTTTTTAGTATGTTTTGTACATATGTATGGGTATATATGAAAAATATATGCTATTATATGATGCATAAGTTTATTCAAAAGTAATATTTTTAAGTTTGTTTTTTCAAAGTAGAGTAATAGAGAAGATAATTAAAATTGCGAGAATTAAATAATACTTTCTACCTGTCTAAAATAGCACCAATGTAACGGCCATCTGTGAAAGTTAGCAGAGCGGGACCATCCCATGGTTCCATTGCACAAGCAGCCCAATGATAAAAGTCGCGCTTCTCTGTTGCCATTGTTAAATCGTTCTGCCATGCTTCTGGCACCATTGTCATTACTGCCTAAACATATTTTTTCTCCAAATTTAATTTAATTGTCATAAATACAGGGAAAGCAAACCAAATTTATATGATACTCTATGATAATTGTTTATTATATACAAAGTGAAACAGATAAAATGTTACAAATTATGGTTTTCTAAAGATCCTGTAGATATATATATAATATATAACTTGACATTTTCAAACTGCACATAAATCTATAACTCCTGATGTTGTTAAATGTTTGTATAAATATTATCATAAGAATAAATGTGTACGTGGAAGTGAATGAATAACTTTGAATTTGAATTTCTAATATAATACTTGTTAATTTTGAATTTCTCATCAAATAATTATTAAAGCAGAATACACTTCTCTTAATGTCTTTCGACATCTATACGAAGTTTCCCTTGCGTAAAACATTTTCCGCTGTAACTTCTTAACCCCTTAAGCGGGGAAAAAATTCTTTTAGGGCTTTCACTCAATGGGAAATATACACGACATATTAGTATGTACGAGTTACTGGTTGAATGACAAAAGAGGTTACAGTCAGTATACACTTGAACCACGAAATGAATATTAAAGTGAGCACATATAATCGCAAAACCAATCGATACAACGATTAAGTAAACGTATATTTGTGTTAGATCTACCAAACGAATAATTAAAAGGAGCAGATATATTCGCTTTATCTGCTGTTTATTTGTCAAATCGATTAACTCCATACTATAAAAAGTAACAATTTATTTTAAGCACAAAAATTTAAACATCAATCAAGTGTCCCTTGACACTAAAATTTAAAAAAGTTCGAGGAATGGAGTTAATCAGTTTGGTTCATAAATGACTGATACAATTATTTCATACCTCTGGCAAAGATCGTTGTCCTACCATTACTAAAAACTCCAAGACACAATCAACGGCTCCCGAATCCGAAAGATTCGGTTCTACCACCGGATAAAGCTGTTTTAATTGCTCGCCATAAAGCTTGCTGCTCATTACACCTTCACGAGCCTTCATTAAGTTTACATTTCCTCTTAAAGTATTAATTTCACCATTGTGTGCTAATAACCTGCGAACATAGAACAGAGTATACAAGTACATATACATAAATAGTTAATATGTGATCAATAAATGTTGTTTACCGAAGAGGGTGTGCTCTTTCCCAGCTAGGAAATGTATTTGTGGAGAATCTTGTATGAACTAACGCCAGATAAGTTTCAAATTTTGGAGACTAAAATAAACATAAATACATTAGTAATCACATAAATAAACACATATATATGACTGATTTGGGTAATATATAAGTAGTAAATTATTATATTTAGCTTTGATTAATGAAATAATGCAATAATATCATTTACACTCAAAACCGTTTACATTTTAACTATATTATAATAATAGTATAGTAATATCAATACCATTAGAATGGAAAGAAATGGTTGATTAACGTTGAACTTTAATTTAGTTTGTTGACTGGCACTTACTATCAATTACTATTACTAAATTCTCTTCAATATTTTAAACATTTAAAAGAATTTGAACTTTTCTTAATCTAATAACAGAACAATCTGTTCCAAATCAACATCATATAGCATTGACGTTCAAACTCTTTTTCTAAATATCTTAAATTACTGTATCTAAAGTCAAAATTATTATACTATTAGAACTAATTATAAACAATCAGATTTAATTACCTTTAAATCTAGAAAGTAATGCCACAATTGATCTGCTGTTAATTGTCCTTTATAAACGACTGTTCGTGTAGAAAGTGAGCATATGTAATATCTGATGCCTGGTCGTGGTATAGAATGAGAAGATCTTTTTCTCAAAACAAACACCTACAGTCAAAATTTAAATTAATATTACAATTCAGCAGATTAAAATCAATCAAATCATTGTAATTATTTACTCAATGCTCTCTAACTTCTTTAAAACTATTTCATTCGTTTACCAATCATTTTGTATTAATTTAAACAAATGAATGTAATAAGTTAATTTCAATATTTTATTAATATCAACTTAGATAAAAGTTTACTTTAGTGTGCTATTTTATTATAAAGAACATAAGTTAATTACATACGAGTTTGTCAAATAAATTTAAGTTTGCTCAATTATCAGAAAAATGTTCGAAATAATACTTACTTGTCGTTCAAAATTAATATCATCTTGATCACCAGTAACAAATACTTGACGCATATAAGGTTCGCACTTTCGCGCCACTTGGCCAATTCGTGTATTGTCTGTTGGTACATCTCGCCAACAAATTACCTGGAATAAGAAGATAAAATTATAAACGAAAAATATTTATATACTCTATATATATATTTATATATTATATCATACTCTTAAATTGCATTTCTCAGCTAATTTTTCAAAGGCAGCCTCAGCTTGTTGGTGTGAATTTTGATTAAGAAACAAAATACCGGTAGCATAACGGCCGAACTGAGGTAAGTCGATACTTTGTTGCTGGCTGAAAAACAATACGTCGGAGTATTTAAATTTGATGATAATATTTACAATAATTTTTTTATATAACAGGCAGATTACACCCGATAGAATATAACAGTCGTGATTATATAGTGAATATTATTTTTTAATAATTATAATAGAAACAGCAATTTTAATAGTATTAACTATAATGATAAGAAGATAAACACGCAGTATTTTTATGCACTCGTTGTCTTAAATCGAGATAACCTACAATTACGTCGTCGTCCACACAAGTTATGAAATTGTACGCACCATTCTACTTGTACGTCATAGGGTGATAAAGCAATAGAAGTTCCATGAATCTTAGCTATCTCTTACCGCAATTCACCGGCGTAATACTCATGCGGGATTGCACAAAGAACACCGGCCCCGTCTCCGGTGTCGTTATCGCAGGCACAAGCACCGCGATGGTTCATACGTGCCGAGAGAATTTCTGCATCACGAACGATCTGTAATAACAAAAACAAATGAGAAAAATATACGTTGCAGTTTAATTTAATTTGCAAAAATTAAAAATACCTTAACATATAAATTTCGAAATAAAAATACCATAGCATAGAATTTGAAAAAAAAATTTGAAATATAAAAACAAAAGAAAAGGTACATTAAATAACGGATTGATCTTTAGTGAAACAAAACTATCTCTAATAAAACATAATAAAAACTTATGTGTGATGCACCGTGTGATAACTAACCTTGTGTGATTTTGTTCCATCTATGGCGACAATGAATCCAACACCACAAGCGTCCTTTTCAAGCGTTGGATCATACAGAGCCTGTTTTGGTGGAAGAGACCAGAGTTCGGCTCCGTTCATATTTTCTATTTGAAAATATTCACCAATTTTAAAATCGTAAGAAAAGTTCCAAAGAAAAACACCAAATAATAAAACTGTATTTTATCCGGAAGAACTGAAAAAAAAAAATAAAGTAGTAGAAAAAGAAGAAATTAAAGGAAACAAAATCGTTATCAGTTGCTAAACGTGAGTTGAACTGTTGCAATTATAATTGTACACCAGGACAAAATTCACGGAGATACATACACACACCGTATGCGAAATATGAAAATCGAATGTACTTGAGCGTACACTCCCGCTCTCGCAAGCCCCATTGATTCATTACGTAAAATGTACGCGCGTAAAGTCTGCTTAATCTACCTAATGCAATAGATAAACTGTGACCGTGAAGGGGGAGATCGCGCACACAGAAAACAAAAGTGGGAACAGGTGTTGCGTAGATGGTCCGGCAAATTCAGATTAAATGTAAAAACAATTGTCTAAGACCAATGTTCGTTACCATACAATACGTAAACGACATAAATTTGCTAAAAAATTAATAAAAATAAATCAATTTAGAATAGAAATGAATAATAAATGAACATATTCGATCTCGTTGTATCTTTTTTATAAATAATGTTTAGAACATTTTGAATATTACTTGTGTTTAAAATATTTTGTTTCTTTTTCTCTCCTTCCCACGCATGTACGTATGCATACCACAGTCTATGTTCAAGTTGAAATTTGATGTGTAGAGAATTCGATCTGGTAAATTATTGATATCACTGATCAGAGGTCACCTCTGCGGTCGAGTTCGAAGGCGCAGATTCTTATACACATACTCTTCTATCAAAGGTAATGCGAAACTAGACCTTGTTATTGCGCATATTACACCGAATCGATTGATCAATAACGATAAATACCTTTCTATATACATTATTTGTAAATAATTACCAGTATAATAATTGTTATAGTGATTATTATCAACAATAAATCTTACTTAAGGGAAAGAAAGAAAAATGTACTCATATATTAATAAACACCTATTTCGGTAAAACTTTTCAAAATATTATCGAACGAGAGTTTATCAGATCTTTTATCGATATTTTTAATACTATATCCAATTATTAATTTTCACTGCTATTTTGTTTACTCACATTTACACACTATAGTTAGTTTTCAATCATTAAGCTAAGTAGTTACAATTACCATATAGAATGTGAGATTTGTTGGTACAGAAAACTTTACATTCAAGAAAATGAAAAGGTGTTTGTATATGTATACTAGATAAATCGAAAAATGTTAAAAAATAAGAAATAAATAAGCGCTATATTATTGCATTAAATTTTAAACGAATATAAAAAACAAAAAATGCAAGTTTGAATTGTGAAATGCAATTTTTAATAATCCAAAATATAACGATAAAAATAAATGGATTAACCACGGGAAATAGTTATACCTTTCCGAAATTGTTTTCAGCTTTTATCATTTTAATATTTTAAACGATTTATGAAATGGAGCTACTATAAGTTCTATTTTATGTTTTTAATAAAACATGGCTATATTAATACAAAATAATGTCGTTAAAAATTAGCATGCGTATTTTTGATGGTTTTGAGTTAACATCTTACAGCCCTGAATGTAGCTTTAACTCTTGACCGATTTTACAACCTCACTGTATCGGTTCTACCAGCTATACAATAATTAGTTTGACACGCTTATTCTTAAGCTTCTATGAAACGTCATCTGAACACTATTTTCTTAAACAGTATTTAAATATTTGTTTTGTTCCTTTTTCATCTCAAAATAATTATTAGTAAATCTAGTCATATTTAAAATTTTACAAAGCACAAGCTAAGCTCCTAATCGTGTAACAGATATTGAAAAGTTTCCAGTTTACTAACGTTATCTTTTTTTAACAGTCATGTTTCATCTTCTCTTCCCACCTTCCATTTACCCTCTCTATATTTTGCTCTCTCAAATTTGTTCGCATTTCGTTGATTCGTAGTTTCATTGTTATCATAACTGCCAACGTCATTGTCATTGTTGTCTTTGTCATCACGTCGAGTTTTTCCCCTATTGACAGAATCGTTATTTCCTTCTTGTCTATTTCCTACATATCGTTGGATCACGAAACTCGTTTCACTGCAGCATATTGTACATATGTACTGCTATACTCCTTTCTCGTCCCGTCTGCCGCCACATGCTCCATCCCCACTCTGTAAACATCCAGTGCTTTACTCAGTTTTGTCCCATTATTGCCTTCTTTTTTCCTTTTACTTTCGTTTCATCCTTCTACTTTTTTTCTTCGTCTTCTCTTTTCCTTTGTATAATTAACTATCAATTCTGATTACTGTTCTTTTGAAAATTTGAAGTAATTCATTATTCATACATATTCAGCATGTATCACGCGCGATATTTAAAAAATACTGTTTATTGTTTAGTTTTCCTTCATAGAAACTTCATTTTGTCTACATTTACTAAAATCTATTCTCATTTCTTTTTAACTTCAAATACAAAATAGGATTTGACATAATTTTGCAATATGTATCATACTTCGTGATATACAATGATATAACATATCTATTAATTTAAGCAATCAACTTTGTTATTTAGGTGTTTTGATATTCTCTGAAAAGAATATATAACTCCGCTACGTGAAATTAAAGAAGAAATGGTAAAATCTGAGAGCAAAAAGGGGCTGAAATTAATATACACGGCACAATGTATCATCATTCTCATCTTATAAGATTGATTGTTAATATATTATAAGTATTAATGCTCAACATAATGCTTAACATTAATTCCTATTCATTTTAAAATATGCACAGATATAAGTCATATAAAATTTCAGTGTATAATTGATAAATCAACAATATTTTTCGTTTATTCGGCAATTCTGTGAAATATATTTCCAACGACGATAGCTTCGGCTGGTGCAGATATTTGGCGTTTCGCCAATACGTCAATAGAATCTGGAAAACTCTCAGTTTCCCTTAAAATACATTTCTATTTTAGCAACATGAAAGTCATTGATAATACTGCAACTTGATTTGTATATTAACAACATTTTATTCATAATTGAGAGTATTTTCTTACTTTGTACGTTTCCATAATAAAATATCTTTGTTTAATAGAGTGAATGAGCCTGTTCGCTATTTTCGAAAATCTTTCACATATCGACGAAATATTCAATATTTTTTATTTTGATTCCTGTTTAATGTATTTGTAGTATTTTTTCTTTAAACTATCAAGAGATTAAAATCATTAATTATTTATAACTTTTCTTCATTACATATGAGGTACAGTTCGAAAAGTAATTGTCTTGAATCGTTTAGGAAATTTCAACTTCTGATGATAATGCTAGCACACGGAACGGAAACTCCCGTTGTCATTAAAAATATACCAGAGAGGATATTAATATATGTGTTTATGTATATACACAAGCGTGCATTCAGTTGATTTCCCTTTACAAATATTCTGTTCTCCTCGGCGATATCAGTTTAATTAAATTATACTTGTGATCCTTTATGTTCCATTAAAAATAATATTTTAACTAATAAATTGTTAATAATTACCAGATTCTCTCTTGATTATCATCAATAATATAACTATATATTAAAACTTTATTATGAATAACATACTTTCTTTCTTTCTTTTTATCTTAATAAAGATAAAATTGCATGTTAAAATTGTACATTAAAAAAAAAAGACTGATAATGGCATTGTAAAATTTTGAAATTTGACAAAATTATTAGGAACGAAATGTGCACAACCATCATTTATTTCAAACTAGAAACACTTTGAATTCTATGATAGTGAATCGAATTTTAAATAAATAAGTTTTGTAAGAATTTGCAATCAATTTTATACGATCACTTGTTCATTTATATAGTCGTAGCATGCGCACACACAAAACTGTGAGTATGCGACGTTGACGATTCGAGATTCGTCGACATTAATTATCCATGATGTATATTTCATTTAAGGCTCTAAAATTGATTAACATTTTCATAAATTGTTTTACTAGAACAACTAAATATTTACAAAAAAAAGTTCTTAGATTTTAAATATTCTAAGTGATACACAGTTTTCTCGATTAATATTCTTTTTTAGGGTAAATTATACTAGTTGAATTTTGGTCATGCATATTTAATCCAAATTACAAGTAAATCAAACATAAATAAAAATATAAAAATAAGGAAAATATTTACCCTGCTAAACCGTATCAATAATTAATAACCCACATGTGCCTAATCCGTATTGGTTAGTTTGCGAAACTGCAAGTTATGTTGACGTATTCGATCCAATTTCTTGCGTTTTTGTCCTTTTTCCGTGTTATTTGTTAACTGCTTTTTTGGTTTCTTAATCAATTTTTATATTTTAACACACATAATTTAACCAATTTTTCTTTTAAAGTATGTTTATCATTAAAATAATTTTTCACTTAATATTTTCAAAGTATTTAACAAATGTATTGAACTAAAAGAGCACTTAAGACTTAATGGATTTCTTTTATTACTTCTGACGACTTACTATAAATATAATATTCGAATAAAATCCGTCGGATAAAACAATCCGAGCGAAACGACTACCACAATTTATCTGAATTAGTTTAAGACACCTGACCATATCCTATAAAATAGAAGAAGAAATGTTTCCTTCACCTGATGCGACTATGCCGCCTCTCTCGGCAAATTTCCAGTCAATGTCAGTTAAACTGTAACACGTGTAGGCGCTCTCTACCGTATGGTAGCATAAGTACCGTAGGGTACTGCAGTACAAGAAATCAATACGTATGAAACGTCTTTGATTGGTTGATTATTTACATGCTGAATATTTAAAATATACACTTAATACAAAAAAGGAAGAAATTGATTTATTGAACATTTTATCACGTTTAAAGTTTTTTCTTTTTGATTCAACAATTCTGTAATTTATTTTTTCGAAAAATGACGCATATCTATAAATTTCTAATTTCATTAAAGAATATAATAAGAGATGTAGCAATTGGTAAACAAAAATCGGAAGCATTGTAAATGCGTTTCTTTGGAATTTACAGTATTGAATAAAATATTTTTACACGAGACAAATCAAACTTAATTATTTGCTGCTAATTCTTTTTGTACAAGTATAAAGGTAGTTCTTTTTAACAATACATATTATTCTATAAATTAATGTTCAAATGATAAGCAGATATTTTTATTAATTTTGTTCTAGTAATTAAGTAGAATAAATTACAGTATCTTTATAAAAAGTTGAAACTTTCTTAAATCATACATTTTCTGTGTGATTATACGATATATATTCAATAGCTAATCAAATCAGTTTTTAAACAAGTGAATAAATTTTAGGAAAACAATATTTTGTTTTATTTACTTATTAAGGAATGTTCGAATATTTCTATTATTTTATATTTAAATAATCTCTATTATAATTTTTTATCTTTATATAATTCAAATTATTCTACCCTTTAATAACATGTTTATAACCCCAAAACTTTGTCATTATCTTACGTATTTAGGTATCATAAAAAAATCACCGAAAGTAATTTTGTCTAAAATATTTTTTTCAATCACTGTAGTTTACAAATAACTCTTTTTATTTCTCAATTATATCGTATGTCTTTTACAATAATTAAAAAATAGGTGATCTGTAAAACTATAATCATTAATGTATACAATAGTAAACTATGACAATACTTCATATGATATACAGTTATATGATATTCATTTTAAATTACTATATTACTTTCGTATCAGCGGAACATGAAAGTATGTTAGAAAAAATATAGTGCAGATATATGCAATATTTTGTTTCCTGTACAACAACCAAAAGAATATTTTTTTTTACTGCACACTTTTCGTTAGTTTATCTACCCCTTGCCGACTTAGTTTTAATACTTTTAAAGATAATAATTACAAAAATAAAAAGATGATCCTAAATTGTTATGTAAAGAAATGTAAGAGGTATTGAATTTTTTTACTGCTCGACAAGGAGTTCTACGTGCGTCACATAAAGGGCACACATGAATAAAAATTTCACAATATCAATCATTATACATACACATGTAATAAATCGAAGGCGGAAAAGTCATAGTCATCATAAAAGACTAAATGCATCCACAACATAACGATTAAAAATATGTAACCGTATTATCTTTTTTCTACTTAAAATTTTTTTGGTCAGACATGTATCCTTTTCCATTTACATAGTCATAATTATTTTAAAGCTGCCGTGTTTGATTAAATTCGTGCATGTTTTATCAACGATCGCATTAAAGCTATCGTGCCTCTTGGCTATGTAACGCGTAAGTCAAAGTACTCTGTACTAGATACGCATTACATCAAATATAAATACGAAATAACATCGTAAATAACAAGTAATTCTAAATATTCAACTAATTCTATCTATGTACACTCATGATATACATGCATGACCTTTATGGTACGTAGTCTTACTAAAGTCAATGTAATAATTCTAAAGTCCAAGGCCATACATCCCATTATAAACATTATTCATTGTGCAGTTACTATTCTTTAAAAAAAAAAAAAAAAAAAAAAAAAAAAAAAAGTTAATTGGTCCAATGGAATGAGTTGATACAAATGCATTCAATATTAACTATGTCACCAAATACTAAAAATACGAAGGCCAAGGGATGATTTCACCACGTGAACGCATTTATTCTATTCTAATAATTCTAGTCGATAATCCTTCTACGTGTTTATATTCAATTTCAGAGCATACTTTTGGTCGGAAACAGTGCAAATATAATTGCTGGAATGATTCATGTATGCTCATAGACAGTGGTATTATGAATATGATACATATAGTCCACTTTACTTCAAATATGACAAGTTGGTTTTGGATAGATCATTGTTATATCTAATCCATTCACATTAATGATTTAATATGACTCTAAAGAAAATAAGTTTCAATTTTCAGTCTTAACTTCTATTGTTGTCGATTACTACTGCTATTATTGATATTACTGCCATTATTGTTATTCAGATTGTTACTGCTGTTGCTGCTTCCGCTACTATTGTTGCTGTTGTTATTGTTGTTGTTGTTGTGATGATGGTGGTGGTTATTGCTATTCAAAGTAGCAGTAGTGGGATTTCCAATGTTATCTATTTCGCGCTGTGCACGTGAAATTTTTACCTTATCCCGGGGAGTCCCATCTTCACCAGTTTCCATTGCAAACATTTTCATTTTTTCTTTAAAACTGAGCTTCTCGGGTACTTGTCCGACTTGAGAACTTTGTTGCTGTTTTTGCTTTTCTGCAAGCCTTCTTTGTCTAGGATCTCTAAACAAAATAGTCAAATGTAAAATTATAATTTCATATCGTGATTATTAGTAATTATTAATATTTGAACACAATAAAATAGTAAAAGATATTGTTACTTGTATACTTCCTGAGCACCTATTACGCCAGGTGTGCTACCAGTAATCGAAGGCCCACTAGAACCTTCAGGAGTCTTTGGAGATGCCAATAAAATTTCTGCATCATTTATGAAATTCTGAAAATAATTCATACATTTAATTTGTGATGCTTTAGATTGCAGTTGCTCAATGATAGAATACCAGGTTTATAATAAATCTTGAAAGTCAATCATCATAATGTAACAACATGATGAAGATAAGTAATTATGTATTTGATCAATGAAGTACTACTCGCGTATACAGTGACTGACCAGGACCAAGCGTGGCCATGTATCTGAGAAACTGTACTTCCAGAAATAGTACAATAATTCCACACTGTTCAATAGTAATGAAACATGAGAAGGAAGATACATTTTATATTAGATTTGAGCGGTATAATGCGTTTGTAAATTATTATATTAAGCAGTGTTTCGATTATTATTGAAATGGCTTAACAGAAGTCATCGACACTTATTCTTAATTAAATATTATTTGTTTTATTTAAAACTAATTTAAATGAGTTTGGTATCATTTTGGCCATAAGAATCAACAGTCTATACAACAGACTATAATATTATCTTAATAACAAAATAAAAAGTAAGAAATTCCATTTTTTCTATTTTGGTAATTCAACATTGGTTGAACTACTGTTTATATAGATTGCATATAACATCAAGTGTTGCCTCGAATAAATGGCTTCAGTAAATGATAGGGATACTTCGTAGTCATGTACACGGACAGGTTAATAACTATATACGCGGGCATTACTGTAATAGTAAAAAGATTTTCTGGTTATAGAAGATAAAGTTGTAAGTTTAATTTAAAGAGAAACAAAAAATTTATTGAATGACACGTTTCTATACGTTTACGACACTGTTTATGTGCCAAACATATGTACCTTTAAAAGACAGATAGAACTAGGCATTCACGAATAAATATATAATTTTAAAAATATATATTATTCATCTTACATTTGGATCTTCTGTAATGACGTCCATAGTCACAGCTTGATTCGTACTCAAATTTCCAGTCGATACATTTCGTTGAATACATTCTACATTTGCATTCGAATCGTGAAAGGAAACTCTTTTAACAGATGTCGATTGCGGTTGAGATGTTAACGTTATTATATTAGATGCGTTTGCATTATTTGATCTAAGGGTGCTTTGATGCGACATAACTGCATAACTAGAACCTCGTTCTGGTGGCAGAGGTGCGTCGTTGGTACCATTTTGCGTGGCTATCAAAACAAAGACAGAAAGCATTATAGTATCAACGTAATAAAAGAGTATTATTGTTTATAGCTTGAATCCATTATAAATATAACACTGACTGTAAAATAAATACTTACAAGATACATTTGATCCATTAATGATTAAACTATCTAATCGTAACATACTGGGATGCAGTAATTGTTGAGTTTTAAGATGAGATTGGGATTGTTGTGAATGCTGCTGATACATTTGTTGGATTTGTTGTTTGCTGGTTTCTTCCTCATTCTTCTTTAACTGACTATCGTTAAATTCGACTTGTTTCCGCTTAATCTCTTCATGTTTGCGATGCACTTCTTTCTCCTCGTTAGATTGAGATAAACCAAGGGGTTTTTGTGAACCGCCTAAATGAATCAAGGATGACATTGAAATTTGTCCTGTAGTATTTTGCATTTGATTAACGTTCTCGTGTTGAAATTCTGATAATAAATGTGTGCCAGAATTATCTTGCTGTTGCTGATGGTGTTGTTGCTGCTGCAGACAGCTGGTTACAACATTTTGCGAACATTGTTGAGTAGTACCATTTCCATGTGCCGCTATGACATTTGTAGAATGCATTGAAGATCCACAAAGAGACTGAGTAACATGATTTCCTCTGACAGACTGGTTGGCTACATTGGTTCTAGACAAGTTGAGATGATGTTGCTCTAATGAATTATTTCGATCTTGCGTCATTGTTGTTCGAAGCGAGCTTTGCTGAACTCGTACATTCTCAGTGTCTAAATCATTACTTTCTTCATCATCGTCTTGTTGATTGGCAACTTCTTCAGCCCTTTTCTGAAAATCTCTTTCTAACTGTAGAGCTCGTAATTGTTCTTCCTGTTGCGATGTTCTGTGAGATAATGCACTCAATTCTGCTATTTGTTGATCTCGCCACTGCCTCGCAGCTTCTCTTCTACGTGCTTGTTCCTAAAATGATAACAAAAATAAAAAATATCAATAATAATTACACTAATAATTTTGGTAAGGAAATGTAAAAATGAAATGTTATTTACTGAATTACTGACATTTTTGTAACATTTAAATAATAAGATATAACAAACTTTAAGCATATCTAATAAATATGTGAGCATGAAATGTTATAGTTCTTTTAATGAATTTTTATTTATTTTATACTTACTCTTTCTTTTTCTTCGCGTTGCCATGGATTCGTAGCACTATACTGATATTGACGTGGTTGTAGTGCAGTTCCAGTTACATTTGCTGGATAATATCCTCCACGAGGAGGATCCTGCATGCTTGCAGTATATCTAAATAGATAAATGTATTTTATTTTTTAATCATCTGCTTTTATTCTCCTTTTATAATTACTACTGTCAATAAAGTATTACCTCGAATCTGATTGTTTATTGTAAAGTGGATGAGTCGAAGTGCTTGGTGGTGGTGGTGGTGGACTTTCTGTAAATCCTTCGTCTGATAGAACAGGCCGTATAGGAATTTCATTAGAAATTGAATTTCCTTCCGTAGTTTGCGCTCTTCCTATTCCACTTTCACTAGTATAATGATCATTTCGTATTTCTGAATTTAAATAATACTGAGATCCGACAGAAACTTGATTTTGATCCATATATAATTTTCCAAAATCTCGAGAATTTTGATCTCTTCCATATTCAAATATTCCATTCGGTTGCAAACGAATTAAATCAGTTTTTCCTCTCGACGATGTCATACCACCATGTCCATATTGGATATGTCCAAGATTTTGTTGTTGATGTTGTTGATGTTGATGCTGATGTTGGTGCTGATGCGGATGTTGATGCTGATATTGATGTTGAAATTGAAGCTGATGTTGATGCGGATGTTGAGATTGGGGTTGCGATTGATGTTGATGTTGATGTTGATGGACGTGTGGTGATTTCCCATATTGAACCATGTATGAGCCATATTGTGCATCCAGGTAACCATAACTCGAAAGACCCGCTTGTTTCGTGGTAACATGACCGGATGCTGAAATCGATGGCGTGGACACTGTTACTGATGGAGTTGATCCCAAATTTGGTTGGGAACCGATAGATTTTGTAGGTCGGACAGTAGAACTAATCGACGATTGAACCGACATATTTGTTTTTAGATTATACGCGGTCGATCGATACTGATTCAATGGAACTGGAATGCCACCTCGTAATTCCCGTCTTCGAACTTCCTCTTGCATTTCTTGTAGTTTTGCTTCTTGTCGTATTATATCCCGAGATGATTGGGATCTTGAAGGTACTGTACAGCCTTGTTGTTGCGATTGTCCAGCAATAATATAAGGTTGCTGTTGAGGTTGCGGTACATATGCAGACATTGGACGATCCCTGGTTTGATTCATTTCGAATGTTCCTGGACGATTCAAAGAATTTTGCGAACCTCTCGAATTCTTTTGTAATTGTAGAGGATTCCTAAAAATTCGTAGGCGGAAAAAAACGATAAACGAACGACGTGTGATCGTCGAAATTTATTTTCCAATTTTATTTTAATCGCAAAATTGATAAAACAAAATTGAAGTAAGAAAGAATAATACAACAAAAGTCGTTCGTGTAATAAATACATTTATAATAATGTAAAGCGAAAAAGCAAAATAGGAGGAAGGTATGAAATTATTAAAAGAAAAAGCAAAACATACTTACCTATCGTCTGAATGTTGAGACGGGCTATGTCGTTGTTTAGTTGTCGCATCTTGATTGCGATAGATGCTCAAGTTTTGATAAAATCTTTCGGCTTCGTTACCTTGAAGAGTATTTGAACCTATCCCAAGATTAGCATTTGTACCATTGTTATTCGTTGTTTGACTAGGATTCAAATTCGGTGATGACTGTTGTCTACTCACGAGACCACTCGGGGGTAATGTACCGATTCTCGTCGAATCATGCAAGTTATGACTCGAACTATTTTAACAGAGAAAATTATAGAAAAAAGATAAATATTTAATCAATATAAAATGGATCTAAAAAAGATATTAATATACGATTCGGAAACAAGAGAATTAAAAATTAATTAGAAATTACCATATATATTATATATAATTATGTTACGATATAAATTACGTGGCGTAAAAGTACCACGATTCGAGAGAAGAGATTTACCGAGAACGTAATGATGTCGAACCGTTGATTGTAGTCATAGGTGGAGGTGGCTGTGTAACAGGGGGTGTAACACTGTTACTTGACGATGCTCTGCTGTAACCAGGATTGAATACCTCGTGCTGTTGTTTTCCATCCGTTCCTACGTCTGTTTTACAAAATTATATGACACGAATTTTTATTTTACATATTTGCATGGAGTCAAATTTTAATGGTAACGAACTAAACAACATGAAAAGATTATAGTGAAACAACAGAATATAACATTCTAGATACACAAAACAGGAAGAGAATAAAGTAACAAAACAAAACATGGAAAGAAGTAGTATGTAAGATTGAAAGTGCATGGTATAAAATAATAAGCATAATAACAAGTATTGCATCGTGTATTGCTATTCCACCAATCATCCTCTCTCATCCTTCTATAATTACTATCTACTTACTGTGCAATGCTGGTACGGACTTGCTGGTATGCATTTGTTGTTGCGGTGCAGTTGCGTCGCGTCCAAGCTGAGATGGCAAGTCTCGTTCACTCATGCGACGAGGTCCTGTGATAGTCATAACATGCGAAAACATGTCCATATAATACTTTGCTGATACGCTCACCCTTCTACCTTTCATACGCACATACACATAGAGTAGTGATAGAACATTTAAATAAGCATAAACAAGTGATACACAGTGTTTTTTAAGCAATACATTATATCATTGAGCCGCAAAAAATCAATAGTATTAATTGTATCGTTCAAATCATTTAAGGCAAATTTTTGTTTGTAATGCATTTGTTTATAACAATATACATATATACCATAAATATATGCAAACATGCATGCTTTAACAATAATAATAATAATGTATTATAGAAACTATTTTATACCAATATTATTATTTATACATATTTATGTACAAGTGAAGCTGTAGGTAACTAAATGAAATTGCCAGAACGAAATATTGAAAAATAAATGAAAAAAGTGGATGTGTAATATTAGAATCGTAACAAAATTAAGCTAAATACTCTTTCTCTATTATTTTCTTACTTTTAATGTGCACGTGAACATTATAAAATACTATTTTTGTTCCTAAATTTAATTGTGCCTGAATTATTAATCAAATAAATAAAAGGTGCACTTAAAAATTCTAATTAAAGTGAAACCATTTAACTTCGACAAAGAAATTGAGAAAAATTGTTCGAAAATACATTGCCTTGACATGCCAATATAGATCGAGCGTTATGTAGGTACGAATTCACACAACATTCATTGTTCTCAATATTGGCAGGCAGATATTTAAAAAATGCAAGAGCAGTGTTAATTGCTTACGTAAAAAGAAATCGAGATCTAGACGAATTTGACTTGATTTTGGGTAAATTGCTCCACTGACTAATTTTTTCCAATCCTGGTTGAAGTTTATTGCCATGTCAGTGGAATGTCCAGGCAGGGAATTTTGCTTGCATTGTTTTGCTTCAGAGATTATTTTATTATTATTATCTCGTGATGTATCCTCCAAAAATTGAAAATGTTTTTCATTTGCATGTAACGAAGACATCTTGTCGTCGCTTTGTCGGCTCATTTGTCTCAATCCATTTGTCGAACCGTATTTCTTTAAATTATATTTTCTACTTCCGTATTTTAACAACTCGTTTTCATTATGTAAGAATTCTCCTATTCTTTGCAAACTTGGATAAGAATTCGACAACTGTTTAACCACTTTGGACAACTGTTTTTGTTCGTCCACCATACGAATACAATTTGCTTCGACATCTATAGTCCATTTAGACTTCTGAATATTCGTGGGTATCAATTTTTTCTGTATTTCACACGAAGACAATATTGTACTTGATTCTTTGTCAGCGGCAATCTCGTTCGTAGATTTCATATTTTTGTTTAGTATATGCGAAGGAGATAAAGAAATGGAACTAGAAGGAGATGGTGCTTTTGTACCATCAAGATCAGATTCTCCTTTCAATTGTCGCAGTATGTGTTTCCGTTCTGATAACGATAATTTCTGTATATTATATGTTGATTTCTCTTTATACATATTAGTTGAATCGCTGTACCTAACTTCAATATTATTATTTTCATTTAATAGATTTGCGATCGATTTTTTAAACATCTGGTTTACTTCAAAAGCATTTCGATCATTACTTCTTAAATCTAATTCGGATCGATATTCTTGTTTGTTAATAGTTGGAAAACAATAATTTGAATACATGTGACACAGTTCAACCGAAGCAAAATTAGGTTCTGAAGCAAATTTCTTTGAACTCTCTAATAATTTAACTGAGTGAGTCCAGCGATCGATTGATTTGATACTACTGAGTTTTGAAAAATGTTTAGTCAAGGCTGCTACGCGACCACCACAGCCAAGGCGCACCTCTTCCGGTGATTTCCAACACTTGTTTAAACTTGACAAATCACTCGATGTATTGTTATCTAAGCCAGATAAATCAAGGTTTAATACTTGAATGGTATCCATGATTGTTATTTTGGGGATCGTAGAAATTTTTAAATTATCATTTCGTTCATTTAACACAATATTAGATAATAATAAGATATTTTCTTTCTTTTTCTTTTTTATTTCCTCATTTTCTTGTTCTATTTCATATTTAGTCGACTGTTTGCTCGTCGCTGCATATGTTTCTTGTTTATTAAATGGTTCTTCCTTATGATCATTCACTTGTTCTTCAACCATTAATCGTGAACACTTGCAGTGATCAAACGCAAGATGCTTACATTTTTGTGAATTTGTCATCCCGAGATTATTTTCCATTCGATATTCGTTAAATTCGTTTAATAAAGAAATCGAGAATGTTTCATCTGCCTGATCAATGTAAGGTATTAAATCGAAACAAAAATTATTATATTTCATGCCTACCGTAGCCAAGGCATTGAAATTCGAGTCTAAGATGCTCGTTGATGAAGTTGAGTAGAATTGTCTAGTTTCCGAAGTAGGTAGAACATCTTTTTTTTTTATTTGATCTTTTTGAATAATTAAAGTGTGTATGTTATCTGCTAATGTACTAGAATTATATGTTTGTAAATATCTGGTACCGAAGTTGAAAGACGAACATAAACCTATACCACTAACACTACGGTCATCATTATTATCATTATTATTACCATCATTATCACCCTCACCATATACTATAATTTTTTCTCGCTGAGACTCTTTCATGGATTCGTTATCTGTTAAGGACAACCATGAGGTTTGACCTTGTAAGCAAGTTTGTAAATTCTCTGATTGTAAAATATGCCACAACGGATTGCAGCGCCGATTCAAAGCATAATATGATGAAAAATGTAAAGGATCAAAATCATGATAATATTCCATGTTTTTTGAACAAATCGAAGAATGAATCGCACCTGGTACTGAATCGGTCGAATGTTCCGAATCGATCGCATGCCTTGGAACGCTCAACAAATTACCCATTGAATGTGACGTAGATGGTTGCTCGTTTGTTTCCTGCACCGTCGAAGCTTCCAAGTTTTCGGACTTGGGTCGAATCTTGTGCGCTGCTTAAGAACAATCAGTTAGTGAAGCGTTAATTAAGCAATTAATTATATATTGTTGTTTCGAGAGAGTCAGAATACGAAGAATCAAATGGAGTGCATCGACAGATAATGCGAGCGAGAACGATTCGTGAAAGCGTTATAAAGCGAACATTCTGCAGTTAGCAAATCGAAAGCATCACGGGAATGAATTGAGTTTTTTCACTCAAGCAATTGCTTATTTTTGTTTATTTCTCTTAATCACGCCGCTTTCATTAAGCTTATTCCTTCATTCTCACGATATTCACAATTCTTTCACCACAAAGCTCTCGTTTCGTTAATATTAAAAAAAAAATGAATCACTTTAAAAAACATATACCTCTGGTCATTATTGGTGATGGTTGCGATAATAAAGTGGCCAAACCATGGTATATGGCACCCTGTTTAGCAACTTCCAATGTTACTACTGGACCGGTACGTACTAAATATTCAGCAGCTCTATAAAAAAAAAAGAAAAGAATTCATTGTTATCACAGATGCAAATATAAAAGGAATTAATATAAACATTGCCTCGCAATGATTCTTCTATTATTACATCATTATTGATTTTTAACATAGGTCTAAATTACTCACTTTTCTTGAGTAATTCCTACTAAACTTTGTCCATCCACTTTGAGTAGTTGGTCACCAGCTGTTAATCTGCCATCCTGTGCACACGCATACATATCATACATACATACATACGTAAAAAGAACAAAGAATTAAATTTTATACGAATTAACAATGTGTAGAAATTAATGATAGAGATAAAAGAGTCATCTCCCTAACCACTCCACTGTCTTTGTAGTTACCGCGGAGAGTACGACAGGCTGTGAGTGAACGAGACAGCAATTTTGTATGAGATATCGGTGGCTTTAGAATAAGAGAAACCACTAATTCTTTCTTTTTTCCGAAATAAGAAACAGTACACTACAATCAAAATCATCGAGATTTCGAACAAAATTTGTGGCCGGTGTTCACATGCAGTATATTGCATTCGCCGCGGCAAAGAACAGAAGATGTGTAAAATAGAGGGCCGTTGTATTACAATTGGATCTTGTCCTCTGAATGATCCACTTATAACGAGGCATATATATTTATTATTTACAATATTATGTACTTACAGCATCAGCTGCACCACCAGCAACTACACTCTTTATATATATTCCAAGTCTGTCCTGACCAGCACCCTACAAAATATCAGTTAAAATTAATATTTTGTATCGAATAACGAAAACCGATACTCTAAATCCTATGTGTGTAAATTTGTATGTTTATATTAAATACATATTATACAGGGTGTTCCAGAAACTATAGTATAACCAGGAAGTGATTGATTCTACATGAAAAAGCAAATCGAAAATAAAGAATAAAATTTTTTACTCGAAGCTTCGTTATTAAGAGAGTTGACTTTGAATATCCACGTAGTATACTGGTATACTGATCCATCTAACCAAAGTTAAGTGCGCGCGTATTCGGTGAAAATTCGAAGTTGATTTTCTGAGTAACGAAGCTCCGAATGAAAACATTTTTTTCTTTATTTTCGATTTGTTTTCTTATGTAGAATCAACCACTTCCCGATTGTACTACCGTTTCTGGAACAGCCTGTATACGCGATTATGACCACTCACTTTCGCTGCGACAATGCTCAAACCCATTCCATTCGTAGATTTGTGTAATTTTATTACATGTATCTCGGGCTGAGCACCATTCGGTCCTGTATGACAAGAATAGCCACCGGATCTATTGCTCATTGCGCTTGAACTACGAAACTGTAATGAAAATTTAGTTATTATTCAATTATTATGACAAATATTCTTAGTAAAGGAAAATTTACATTATTATGATGATCTATCATATATATAGTCCAGTATCCGCTGCTAGTAGGTTGTGATGCCATACGGCAAAGACCATCACGTTGTAATGGTGTTAAAAATTCTGCTAATCCGGGAGGCACACCACGAATAACCTCGCAACTATATCCATCCTCAGGAAGCAGAAGTGCTAATGCAAGCGTAGACTCTTCCTCTAATCGAATCTCTCTGCCATCGGCACGCGCAAGCGTATCTGCCACACTTTCTGCAACCTAACATTTTAATAATAATACGTTACTACTCAAATACTGGAAATCTTAGTATATTTTTACTTTCTTACACGATATATAGATACAATTATACTTATTCTATACACTCTTACATATTAACTCACTCTGACTACGTTTTCTATTAATTCTGCTGGAAGTCTTGGCTCATCCGCAGCTGGTTGATACTTTTGCAATAATGCTCTAACTTGGAGAGAATTCAACTTAAAGCAGGTTGAACTTAACGTAGCAAGCTCCTCTGCATTGTATTTTGGTGCTTGAAGAAGATGTGTAGCCTGCATAATCGTTGCCAAGTGACATTGACTCGCGAGTTCCAAACCTTGCCTCTCTGCCCAGGTTTCAAGGGCATTCAATCTCGCCTTCAATCTCCGACCGAACCATCTAACACATAAGTTTGTGTTTGAAACTAATGCGTTAAATGCCGTTGCATTTATCGAATGAAATAGATGACTGAATAGTTGAATTGTGAGCGCTGCGTTTACTCTGCATCTTCTAAGTAAAGCCATCGTGCTTGAAAATATTTGAAGAACTCCGGCTTCTTTAGCAGGTTCATCAGCATCAGCCATGAACTGTGACATGGCCGGGGCTAGTTCTAAGGAAATGCACCTAACTAATGATGCAAATGCCGTGTGTACTGCTTCTGTCAAAATATCCTGTGCTCTCGTTGAAAACGCTCCCACATGTCGATCGTTTTTCAACATATGTAATAATTCTGAGCCGTTTGCTAACCATAATGCCAAAGAAGATGCATCCATGTATCGTTCCTATAATAATTACATGAGATGTTGCGTTAAACAAAGCAATAATAACAATAAAATGGTGTATTATAATTCATTCAATATTCCCCACCACACTGATCGGATAATTTGTGTAACCAAGAGGTTGTCGAAATATCATTAATTATTTATTTTGTCCGATATATTACTTCAAGTTACCTGTATTACTCGTTGAATCATACTAGCAACGTTTGCTAACATTACAGTTAATCTGTGAGCTCTCTCAGTTGGTTGCAATTCTGGTCTATAATGCGTACTTGCACGATATCTTGCTGCCAGGTAAAGTGTATAAGTTGGAGCCAATTTGAATTGTGGTGCCGACGGTTCAACGTCTGTGATTACAGCATGAAAAAAGGTTTCTTCTGTTTCTTCGAGAAATTCTAATACAGCTGGTAAGATAGGATCCGTTCCACGTGATTGTCGATCATTCTGCAACGTTCTATTAAAACAGTAATATTTAATACTATTCGTTATTCATATTTCTATCCAAATTCATCTTACAACTATTGAATGGTTCATTAAATCCATTTACTTGTTTATTTGTTCACTAATTGTAGCAAAACAAATCTATAATTCATATTTCGTTTTTCATGTCATCTAAATTTATTTCGGCTTACCCTATTTAGTCCCATCTTTGATTGAAGAATCCCTTCGTTATAAATATTTTTCAACGAAGACACAAATCCTTTCAGCGGATAAGAAAAACCATTACTTGTTACCTGTTACCATCTCTGCTACTGGTAAGACTTGCAGTCTCAACGTTTCCATCAAGATCAAAAGTAGTTTCGTAATTGTGGGTTGATTCCGGTGCACGTGTTGGACTTCGGGCATGACAAACAGTAGCGACAGCAGCAGCAG